CTCCGGTGCTGGTTTTTTTTTTTTTTTTTTTTTTTTAATAGATTACTTTGTTTAAGAGACTCACTCACTGCTTATTTCAACCACCAAATCACAAATAATCTGATTTTATTATTAAATACCATTTCCAAAACCAAAAAAAATCTACTTCATTTAGCTAATAAAGCGTTCTGTTTTGCATTTAAGTCATATCTGAAAGTGTTTGTTGTACATAAATTCCTTTTCTACTGCACAGGTAGATGTTAAAATAACCTTGAGATTAAATAACTTCAGTGAAGTCCTATAATCATTACCTTGTCCATTTCATTAGTCAAAATGAAAAATTCTAATTATGAACTTCTCTGGCTTCACATTTATGATTATTCTTTCTTTTATCCAGTTGTTGGCATGAAGAATCATCAGAGGAAACAGGGAAAAACACCCTGGCAGCCAATGACATGCCCATATCCCATAGGTTTCCCAGGGCAGCCCTCTTCGACTTTCTAGAATCAAGGCCTGAGTTCTCTACACACACTTAAATGTCTCAACCTCCTGAAAGGGACATTTTATGAATATGAGTGTAGTGAATATTTTTGTAACACATTGTGTTTGGAAATTCCAAATCATGTGAGGCTTTTGAGAGTTACACTGCTCAAAATGAAAATAATAAAGCAGTGGGTGATCGGTATTAACACAATTAAATTAAAGTGTATATAAATTAAACCTTCTCTGATTTCTGAAAATAAATTTGCTTTCAAAATAAGGCTGACTTGTTTGAGCTTTTTTCCTGGAATAATTAGAACCTTTAGTAGCAAAGAGAGGCGCATACCTTGAACCTGAGTCATCATCTCTGCCACGAAGATCACAGGTGCACTGAGAAGGACACGAACACCTCACTCCTTCCAAAAGGCTGAGCACAATGCACAGATGTGCAAAAAGAAGCATGGCTTCTTCCAGAGGTAATTTGAACAAAAGGTAAAAACTAAATCCTAAACATTCAGAAACTGGTGTGCCAGGAATGCAAGCCGTCATTTAGTAACAGCAGATTACAAAGGATTAGCTGAGATCTGTAGTTACTTAACCTTCAAGTGTATCTTACAGGGAATCAATAGACCCAGACTTTGAATATGGTTTAAGCAAAGCTACACATTCTAAGGAGAATAAAAATTAAACCTGCCAGGGCAATTTCAATAGTTACCCATATCTAAATTTGCAAGGAAATACCCATTAAGTGTCTTTCCTATCAATACAATTGTCAGTACAATTTAACACCATTAATGTTGAAAAAAAAATTCAGTGTTAGGTTGAAAGTATAGCTCAGTGGTACAGTATTTGCCAAGCATGTGCAATGCCCTGAGTTCCACCCCCATCACTAATAATAATAGTAAATCAATGTCTTAGCAAAAGCTAGAAAATTCTGTAGCTTATTTACATGTGCATTATAAATATTTTTTTGCATTTGCTTTTTACCATCATGTATAACATCGCTTTGCAAAATTTAGTTTTAAAGATAGAAGCACATGGCATAAAATTGATTTAGAATAGACATCAATGTTGCCACATACTAGTTATCTGCAAAAACAAAGAATAACAAATCTTGGTCATATATTTTTTAGGGAAAGCTCTTCAATCTACCTCTAATGTGTCAGGAATGAGTCTCCAGTGAAAGTGTGTCCTGAGATTCTTCCAGACCATCTCAGTGAGCATAAGGTTTATCCCAGCATGTTTATTTTTAATGAAGGCAATAATCTCTGTTCAAGAACATATTTTATTCCAAGCTAGTTTCCCAAGTTTGGGACATCAAAACTATATTTGAATATCACTCTTCATGTCTTTTAGTAATATTAAACTCTAGCAGAAAATAAAAATCTCATTTAATTTAAAACTCCATCCACATCCACAAAATGAAAAATCTGCAGGGACAATCAAGGATTTAATCTTCATATCACATGGTTCTGTCCATCACCTTTAAAGCAAAAACTTTGAAAAAAAATCAGTTATACAAAACAAGAATATTGTAGGAAACATTACTGAAAACTTAACTTTCCTATGTACATATAGGGAAGGGAAAGGAAAAGTTCTGGGGACTAAATTAGAACAAGATATATCCCATGCTTCTACAATTATGCCAAAATGGCTTCTTCTCTCATGTATAACTAAAAAGAACTAATTAAAGGACTAGGGTTGTGGCTCAGTGGTAGAGTGCTCACCTAGCCTGGGTGAGGCACTGGGTTTGATCCTCAGCACCACATAAAAATAAATAAAAATAAAAGCATTGTGTCCACCTAAAACTTATATATATATATATATATACGTACACACTTTATATATAAAAAATATATATACACTTTATATATAAATATATATTAAAAATTTAAAAAAAATTACATAGAAATAGTAAAGTCTGAAAAACTTTGCTAAATTAAACACTGATTTTCAGATTCTGTACAATTCATTTATTCATCAAATATAACTTCCTCTGTACTAAGCTAAACTAAGCACTAGGGGGCACAAAGATGAGTAAGCATGGTCACTATACACAAAGAACTCACCTGATTAAGAGAGGCAGAGTAACAAAGAAGCACAAAAGATCACCAAACCCAGCCTTTGCAGGTCAGGCAAGACTTCCTATGGTGGGTGGCACCTGAGCTGCCCTTATATGGTGACACTGAGATATTATGAGAAAATCAGGAAAGAGGCATTGCAAGTAGAGGTAATAGCAGGAGCAAAATGAGGGAAGCAAGAAACAGTATGGTGTCCTCAGAGAACTGCAAGCACTTTCTGTGGCTCAGGCCCAAGATTCTGAAGCAGGAAGTTAAAAATGAGGGAGAAAGATAAAGCTGGAGAGGTAAGACAGGACCCTGGTTATGGAGCAAGGGACTTAGATTCCCTCTGAAAGAGCTTACACTCAGCCTGTAGGTAAGGCTTGGGATTAACACATTAGATCATCATTTTAGGTGGAATTTTATGGCCACCGAGTGGAGGAAAGGTTTTGACAGCAAATGAGAAGGGAGAAGGAGGGTTCAGGTGGACAGTTGTGGTAATGTCCAGGTGAGCAACCATGTGGCTCCAACTTGGACTGCAGTGCCAGTAATGGGACAGAGCAGCTTCAGGAAACCTCAGAAAGACAGCAATGAGTAGATGTGGCAAGGAGAAGAGGAAGGGATCCAGAGTCAAACCCATAGTGTCCCAGTGCTGGAGACACAGTAATAGGTGGTATCTCAGACTGAGTTTTTGAGGACCAAAGGAGAAAGAAATGGTGGTAGGCAGAGCTCTAATTACCAAGTGACCACATGGTTTTTGAGTCATTAATTTCAAGGATGTTATGACCTACATGGAAGCAAAACATGCCCAATTGAGAATGGAAAATCTGTTTAAATATAAAACATCAAATTATAAACTTAGAGGCTAAAGGAGCTGTGTAATCAAACCCAGAGCTTCCTCATCTTATATAAGAAAATAAACTGATAGATGTAGTATTAAAATATTATCACATTGTTGAAGTCCTTTATGCTTAAGGCACCATTACTCTTTGCTTATTGCTGGAAATGAATCCAAGGTTTTGCAAATTGGAACTCGGAATCAATTTTCTAAACAAATACTGTCTCAGCTACTTAATGGCTCTGTGACTTTGGACACAGAACCTCATTGGGCTTTCTCTATAAAGGGCTCAGCTATAGGAAACAAGCAAAGAACTACTGGCACAAGCATCCTGAGCTCTCTAAGAACATTAGATATTTTAATTTGGCTATTGGAGAAAGACAAAAAGCTAAAAAGTCTCTTTGGGGCCATGTTGAAGAGGGTCCTGAATATCTAGCTGAGAGATTTATACTCACATGGAAGCCAATAGAAAATGTTGAGCTGAAGATCTGAGGGATGGAAATTTTTCTTTTGAAAAGATTAGTTATGAAATTAATCTATGGATTGCAGTGGGGAAAGCTGAAGAGTAGGGAGATCAACTATGAGGTTGTCGTTATTTGTCTTTGTTATGCTGGGGATTCAACTCAGGGCTTTGTACCTGCTAGGCTTCACTCTACCACTGAGCAACATCCCCAGCCTTTATCTAAAATTTTATTTTGAGCCAGGATCTTACTGAATTTCCCAGACTTGCTGTCCTTGAATTTGCTGTCCTTCTGCCTTAGGCTCCCAAAGTAGATGAGATTACAGTGTGTACCACCACACCTGCCTCATCTAGCAGACTGTCAAGGAAGTTTACTATTTCATATACACGGAGAATTGTATATATAAAACTAATACCCAGATTTTACTTAGTATGCAACCAAGGGAGCGAGACAATTTACAAAAAGAAAACCAAATCAAGATAAGAAAATACAATAAGTAAAGCTACACGGCCTCACTAGCACTTAAAGAAAGGTGAAATATAATTAATTTAAGTTATAGTAGATAACCCATAGTTTAAAAATAAAACAATACAGCATCATCAGCATTTGGTGAAAAATGCAGTCACACACTGTCAATGCAGTGTAAATTAATTCTTTTCCAGACAGTAAGCTTGCCACAGTAATATTATTTTATGTTTGTATCCAATAACTCAAGTCTGGAGAAACACTCAAATAAAATCATCTCTCAGAGAAAAAAAAAAGATATTTGTAATAAAATGTTCCCAATAGTGCATCCATGAAAGTAAAAACTGGAAGCAATTTAGATGTCCATTGTTTAAACAATGGTATATTGTGCTATTATTAATATTCATTTAAAATGACAAATTTTACAAATTCATTCAGCATTTCAACAGATATTTATTGAGTGCCTACAGAATGGGTCTACATGCTAAGAATATATCAAAGAACAAATATACAAAAACTCCCACTCAGATTGAACTTGATTCTAACAGCAAACATGGAAACACATATGCAGGAAAATGGTAATTAAAAATTGCAAAATACATAACAAAATGAACAGATATCACATTGCTAGATAAACTATATATTTGCAATGATCAACATGATTTGAATATGAGTTTAATGTTTATTTGATTATTTTTGTTAAACAATGTTGTCAATAATTGATTCTAAGTATTTAAGTTTTGAAATGATAAAAACGGTTTCTGTTTTAGATTTGAAAGTCCAACCACTCATTTCAGTAATAATTTATTGAGGATTGTAAATTATTATTATTAATTTATTATAATATTAAAAAAGTGGTTAATGGAGAACTAAGGCAAGTTGTAAGTCATCAGTCTGGTGTAATGAATGCCATGATAAGAAGAAAGAAAAGAAACAGGATTTTAATCTCATGTATCTACATGCATCAAAGGAGCTGAGGAATGAGTTCACGTATAAAGAAATAGAGACAAATGCACTATAATCGCCAAGGCACAAACAGAACAATGAGCCAGTCTAACAGGACAATTACTATGTCTGCAGTTGATCCAAATGGGCTTGTATTTAAAATAAAATTGAAGTAGTAAAAAAACACACACACACAACTAAAATGCTTTGCCAGTGTGATTTTCTCTTATTTCAGATTCTTCCAGAAGCCCGTGGGCTTTGAGATACATCCATTGGTAAAACGCTTGTCACAGGCATTGCTTGGTGAGTCTGACATTTGAACATTGCAAACATCGCCCTCCGAAACCTACAATAAGAAAGGGAAAATCTGGCTTTATTCTATAGGGACCTGGAACTGCTGAAGCATTTTCAAACACGACTAAGGGGCACTACTGTGAATTCATATTTCCAAATATATTTTCTGCCTATGACTTTAGAATCTACTGTTGGGAGTCTTTATAAATGTATAGAGTATATGGTACAAATAAGATCAATTTTGCACTATTCATTGAAGACATTGAATAAAAATCAACAATTATGAATATTTAAAATAACACTTCAAATGTCAAGTGCAATGGGTTATTTATTTGAACTAAAGATGTGTGTTTCATGTTCTTGAGCAAAAGCCAGTTGAATTGAGGTAGGTGGGGCTTGAGTCGGGGGCTTGAGCTCCAAAAGAACTACCAGCAGATTCTGAATTTAAATGTGCTTTTTATTCTTTTGATGTGGTCTGTTTGGTCTTGACTTTTGTATGTTCTTTGACATACCTGCTGCTGCAGCTGTTCTCCCTAGCATGTGCATTAATACATGTTTTAATAGAAGCAGCACTGTCATCCCAGGATCCAATTACCTGACCTCCACTGAGATTTTCTGGCCGAATATTTAAGCATAGTAGATTGGTCCATTGTCCAGCACTAACAGGAAATTAAATAATAAAAACTTCACTGAGGAGTCAAGAAAGGAACTCCTTGCTAAAAGTCTCAAAAAAGGGAGGAAGGAAGAATTCACTATTAACCTAGATAACTATCCACTCCCAACGTCCTTTATGTTAGTACTGAATACTTCTCTTACATTTGAAAATGTTTTCTGTCTGGAAAGTATAAAACCATGCTACCTACTAAAAATAAGGGCCAACATTGCCTGGTCTATTTTCTGGTACTAGAATCGTTCTTTTCTTTGGAGACCACTATTCCATGTATTTGGGGGGGTTAACCACCCCAAACCAAGCTGACCAATGACCAACCAGGGACTTTTCTGCCAGGAATCTCTCTGGGATAAAGCTTGCCTTGGAGGATACTTAGCTGGTAGAATTTGAGTCTTACATTGCCAAGATCATCTCTGCCACCAAGTGGGAAGAGTCTGTCACAAATCTGGAACTCTGGGCATTTAAGGTCATAGATGCTGCTCTGGTTGCATAAGCCAAATAACCTTACACTAGATTTTGTCAACTCTTGAAAAGTTTTAGAATATTTTCAACTGCCTTTTTAAATTTTCCTGGTTCTAGAGATTGAATTTAGGGGCAGTCTACAACTGAGCTACATCTCCTGCCCCCCTTTTAAATTTTATTTTGAGATAGGATTTCTCTAGATTTCACAGGCCGGCCTTGAACTTGCAGTCCTCTGGCCTGAGCCTCCTGAGTGTCTGGGATTACAGACGTGGTCACCATGTTTGGCTTCCCTACTACCTTTTAAACATTATTTTTGTGTCAATTTTCTTTTATTCATAAACAATTTAGAGCTAACTTACCTTTTATTAGCAGCCACATAAATACAAGGGTTGTAGAATGTAGAAGATTTTGCAAACAGTGGAGCTATGATGGCCATTGAAGGAGGAATCGTCTTTGGGTCACCAAAAGAAGCCCATAAGCACACAATGGAATAAGGAGACCATGCCACCAAAAACATCAATATCATTATCACAGACATCTGAAAAAGAAATAGGTATTTGCTAAACCAAACATCTAAAATATTTAAATAGTTAATATATCTAAAATAGCATAAAAATCTATCTGTTGGAATTGAATAAGTTTATGTTGTTGATGACAAAGGAAATAGCTGAGTATTTGCCATCACTGTTCTTAACAAAGGTGTCTGAAGTCATCTATGATAACTAGAGCCTGGAAAATGGGTATGTTCATCAATATATGGCACTGCCTTTAAGAATGATACAGGCATGTGAAGGATGCCCTCTTTCTTATGATGTGATCAGGAGAATATAAAAGATGGCTTTGATGAAAGATGAAAACCCACTCCAACATACTTCAGGTAATTGTGCTCTGAGCAAGAAAATGTTTTTTTTTTTTTTAAAGACATTACTTTTTCTTCTTCTCTGTCTCCCCTCCCCTCCCCTCCCCTTCCCTTCCCTTCCCTTCCCCTCCCCTCCCCTCCCTTCCCTTCCCTTCCCCTCCCCTCCCCTCCCTGCTATCAGTTTGGATCTGGAATGTCCCCAGAGGCTTATGTGTTGGAGGCTTGGTTCCCAGCTGGTAGCACTATTGTGAGGTGGTAGAAAACTTTTAGAGTGTAAGGCCTAATTGGAAGAGGTATGTCATTGGGGTGTGCCCTTGAATGGGTATATTTTGTCCCTGGACCCTCCCACCCTCTCTCTCTGTTTCGCTTTCTGGCTACTAAGATGTGACCAGCTCTACTCACCAGAGGTTCCCTGCCATGATGTTCTGCCTCACCACATACCCACAGCAATGAGACCAAATGACTAGGGACTCACACCTTGGAAACTATGAGCCAAAATAAATCTTTTTTTTTCTTTATGTTGATTTTTTTTCAGACATTCTGTCACGGCAACAGAAGGCTGATGAAAACACTTCCTTACTGTGCTTATCAGCTAATCAAAAAAAAAAAGAAAGAAAGAAAAGAAACTTTCTAAACTAAATCTGGAAATTAAAAAATAAAGTCTTATCTTGAATTTAGTGGATTTTACCATAGGTCATTTGAGTTGAATATATTTTACATACAGTGCAGAAAATTTTGTAAAGAAGCTCCTTTGCATTTTGTTTAAATGAAAAACATTTAAGTTTTATATTGCTCCCTCCTGATTGCCTACTACAATAAAGAAACAGATTTTAAAAGACATAAACTTGTCAGGACACAAAATCAGAGATTAGATAATTGTTTGTTTGTTTTAATGGAAACAATAACTGTTGGGCAAGTGGCAGACTACTTACCAGGCATGAAAATGATTAAAAAATAGGCAAAAAAAGTTGTTTGTTTGTTTTTTTTAAATAGCAATGAGAGAAGCCCAAATACAGACTAATCCATTCTACAGATCTATAGAAGTATTCTAAGGTACCAAAAATCTCTGAATGTAGGGGTGCACATGGAACTCAAAACAGGAGAATTGGGGGGCTGGGGTTGTGCCTCAGTAGCAGAGCGCTTGCCTAGCATGCATGAGGCACTGGGTTTTATCCTCAGCATTATATAAAAATAAATAAAATAAAGATATTGTGTCCATCTACAACTAAAAAAATATTTTTTAAAAAAAACAGGAGAATTGGTTGAAATTTACAAAAAGAAGCAGTTAGACTCCCAGATCTCCTTTGCAGGTCCATTCAGTCCACTCAGTAACTGCCTCTTCCTCTCCCTACAAGAACCCTAGGGGCTCAGCATAAAAATGGCTAATGCAGGAAAGCTCAGGACTCAGGGAGCCCAGACTCAGCTAAGCAATGCAGTACTGTACTAAAAAGAGGGGTTTGTTTTGTTTTGTTTTGTTTTGTTGCATGTTGCCTTCTCCCAGCACTGGGCTTGAGAGTACTGACAGACATGAACCTCCTACTCAGGGACATGAAAAAAATCGTCTCTTTGGAGACTGACCAGCCCAGTATGAAAAATTTGGAGGTACAGTCAGAAATCCCCTCTAATGAGCACCTCTGAGCTTACTATCAGATTTTTAGTGCATCACTGGCCAGTACTGACCACCAGACAATGAGAAACTCTCACACAGGCAGAGAAAAAAATAACACAGGAATGTAGTATACCACAAAAATATGTAGTGACCAGAAGAAAAGTGTAAATATATACAGAATGTATCATAGAATAAGAGATACACCTAGACAACAAGAAGAGGTTATTAAAAGAGGACAGTGTATAAAATAATTATTTTATCTAGAAAAAGATTGCTTTATGCTATCTATAAAGGTGAGAGTAGAAACATTTAAAAATGTCATAGGAAGGTTGAATAATATTGCCAGATTCCGGCTGGGATTGTGGCTCAGCGATAGAGCGCTCGCCTAGCATGGGCGGGACCCGGGTTTGATCCTCAGCACCACATAAAAATAAAGGCATTGTGTTGAATCCATCTACACCTAAAAAATAAATATTTTTAAAAAAGATATTGCCAGCCTCGATTTAGAGAAAGATGGGAGAAGTAGGTTCTATAAGTACAGGTCAGCTATTTATTTAAAATTTTATATTTTGTTCAACATAATTTTTTTATGGTTCATCTTTTCCCATCTTAGAATTTGGTTTTTTAAATTTTTTTTCATTTTGTTTTTTCCCCACATTTTTATTGTTGCATTATAGTTGATATAATGGTAGGATTTGTTATTACATATTCATATATGCACACAATATAATTGGGTCAATATCATTCTCAGCACTCCCCCCTCCCTCCCCATCTCCCACCCCCAGGATCCTCATCCTTTACTGATCTCTCTTGAATTTTCATGAGATCCCCTCCAAGCCTTTCTTTTCCTTTTGCCTCTCTAGCTTTCACATATAAGAAAAAAAACATATGGCCATGTTTTGGCTTATTTCACTTCACATATTGGTCTCTAGTTCCATTGATTTTCCTGCAAATGACAAAATTTAGTTTTTCTTTATGGCTGAATAAAATTCCATTGTGTATATATACACATTTTCTTTATCCATTCATTTGTTGATGAACACCTAGATTGGTTCTGTAGTTTGGCTATTGTGAATTGTTCAATATAATTTTTACACTAATTTTGATTTTTTAAATTATTGTATTACATTATTTTTTATATAATTTATTTATTTATTTGGTGAGAATTAACCCAGGGGCACTTTACCACTGAGCTACCTCCGTAGCCCTTTTTATTTTTTGAGATAGGGTCTCACTATGTTTCTGAGATTGGCCTCAAATTTATGATCCTCCTTCCTCAGCCTCCTGAGTTGCTGGGATTACAGGTGCACCCCCACACCCAGCACAAACATTTTTTATTATTATTGAGTATTCTGGTACACCTTTAAATTTTGCACTTAAAACCTGGGCTTCATTATTCTCACCCTCATCACAGATCTGAATATGGTTGAGGAAATCTTCAGAAACTAGAAAAAGACACAAATAACAGCTATAAAACAAACAAAACAGAGACGATCTAGCAAAGAAAATCAGAAGATAATTCCAGAAAATTAAATATCTGAATAAATGGATTTCTAGGAAAAGAGAATAAAGAAAAGAGAGAGGCAGGAATACCAAAAAATAATACAAGCAAGCTCCCAAAAGACACAGAGTTAAGTCTCCACATGAAAGTACTCATCAAGTCCACGGTTCTGCATGAGTAAAGACCACACCAAGGCACATCAGTATGAAATTCAGAAAACAAGATTCAAAGAGAAGAGCCTATGTGCTTCCAGAGAGAACTCACAGATCACTACAAAGAATCAGTCACCAGCATGCCAGTGGCCTTTGCAATAGCAATACAGAAAGCTAGGAGACTCCATAGAGCAAGGCCCTCAAAATTCTTTGATTTGTATTTTTGCACCTAGAATTCCAGACCAAGCAAATATAGTCCAATTCAATAATAGAATAAGACATTTCAGTTATGCAAAGTCTTAGAATTTTTACCTCCCTTGAAACTTCAGCAATCTACTGAAGAATGGGCTCCATCAAAATAAATAACACCACAAAGACAAGCAATCCCCAAAACAGGCCATCTAGCCCTGGAAAGGAGAAAAACGAAGTCCCAGGTGGTGAGGAAGACAGCGAAAGATGAAGGCTTCCTGAGCAGGGGTCTTAGAGAGAAACCACCCCAGAAAAGAGCAAGGGGCTCAAGGGAACCAGGAAGGATACCTCCAGGAAGAAGGTGAAGTGAATCTAGTCTGTAATGTGTTTGAACACACTGACAGGAGGGAAAAAGCCTTTTAATCTCACCAAACATTGCTAACAATGTTTGAGATAAGGAAAGAGAAAGATGGAGGGGAGGTGTGGAGCAGGTTGGTGGCTTACGAGAAATAAATCCTCCTCGTCCATAATAGGAATTCCAATGATGATAACCAACAGAAATATCCAAAGAGCCAATGAGCATATCATTTGGGAATATAAAGGAAAAAAAGACCTGGGGAGTGAAATGGGAGGTAGGGGGAAGGAGACTGGGGCAAGTCATGAGACTCAATTTCAACTATGTGTTTATAAAAGTGTGATTACAAAACAACTTTTTAAGAATGTTGACATCTTACCTTTGTTACATCTACTTGGTCTGACCAGTCTCTGTTTAGGTATGCAGTGCAGTTACTAGCAGCATGGTGTTTAATGGATCGAGTGACGTGATAGTAGCAATAAAACATCACTGTCAAGGGCACAATAAAATTTACTGCAATCACTGTCATCGTGTAAGACACAAAAGACCTGGAAATAGGAAAAGACAATGACAACTCATTTAATATCCTAAATGGGAGAAAGGGGAAAAGAGATAACTTATTAGAAATAATAGTGACAGTCATCTTATTGTTAAAAAGTTTAGGAATTATATTTGACTTTCAGTTCACTTAGACCAGGGGTTGGCAAGTTATGGCCTGTGGGTCATGCCAGCTGTTCAACTATCTTTGTACATAAAGTTTTACTGGATCCAGCCATGTACATTCATTTACATACTGTCTATGACTTAACAGTATGATAACAGTTAAATAGTTAAAACAGAAACAATCTGGCCTATAAAGCTGAAATAGTTGGGGTTTTTTTTGTTTTTGTTTGTTTTTACTCTTTTCAGAAAATGTTGTAGATGGAGATTTAGAAATTTTCTATTTGTTTTTTGGAGTCATCTCTCATTTCTCTCAATGAACTAAATTATCCTTGTTACCCTGGAAAATATGGAGGAGCATCACCGACTCTTAGGCCCTTGTAGTGACTGCACTTTTGCTATAAAGCTCTCAGAATGCGCCTAATCACCAGATCAACTTGGAAAGACAGCAGGAGGCAGCTTGGGCTTTTGCCAGAGGTGCCTGCTCTAGAGCTTCATTAACACTTTGCTCACAATCCTAACTCGGAGATGAGCAAACATTGGCAGGGTGATTGGTCTCCCCATGGATGCCTTAGAAAAGGACCGAAGAAGGAAGAAAAGGACAGATTGGGGTGCAAGGGGACTAGGTAAACTTAACTTTCAAAGAAACATAATTCATCCTTCTATTTTGACTCTGGCTTGGATCACATCATCATTACCAAAGAAGCACTTTGCCACACTCTGTATGAGAAAAGTGATCTGACCTTAAATCTGGAACTTGTTTATTTTTATTGCAGTGCTAGGGAGCAAACCCAGTGCTTCCTTCATTCATGCTAGCCAAGCACTCTACCACTGAGCCATATCCCCAGCCCAGTATGAGCTTAAAATTGAAGGGTGAGAAAATGTATATAATCAAATGATTATAAAGTATAGACTTGTTTCTTACGTATCATTTTTCCTCCAATTTATGGTACAGGTAGCCCCAGTAGGATCTGGGGCATAACTGGCCCACCCTGTGATGGGCATCATAGCCCAAAATAGGCCATTGATCCAGGCCCCCAGAATCATGCTGACATAAGTGTTGGTAGTCATTCTTCTTCCTATCAATAAGCATAAGAAATGTTAGCATCGTGTGCAATGATGGGACTCACTTTGTTTTCACTGAAGATTCAAAATTTATCAAGATTTTTATAGAGCACTTTAGTTCACTCAAAGCTATTCACATGACTCACATTCTGTGAAACATCACAGATTAGCTGAAACCTGAACAATAAAAAGGATCAGCAGAGGATGAGCAAGAAGAGCTTTTCAGGCCAAGGAAAACAGCATATACAAAGACCTCAGAGAGAGAAAAGGGCCTGGCCAGTATCCCAGGATGAGAGTGGCCCTGGCCACAGCTGGAAAGGTAGCTGGGCTGGATCTTGCTGGGCCTCACAGGCTGTCTTAGCAAATTTGGCTTTTACTTTAAATGTAATAGGAAGACATTGAAACTTGAATAAGGATTGCCAGAGAAACAAGAATGACCCTGATTACAAACCACTACGTTTATATTTTAAAGGGAACATAGGTTGAGTGAACATTAGATAATAAATGGCTTCACTGAGAAAGCAGAGAAAAGAAAAGGTTGTGACATACCCACATCCGGGCGACAGATGGTCAGGTATCTATCCACGGCCACCACTGTGAGCAATCCGATGCTTGCCATTCCAAAAAAGATATTCAATCCAGCATAAATCTGAAAATCAAAATGGGAAAGAATCCACCATTCTAACACCCACCCAAGAAACATTTAGATTTTTATCTCATTCTTAGAACATATTTAAAATATATTAAAGCTTTTTCATTTACTGTTTTAAAGTATATCTTCTGTTATCCAATTGTAACTACTTTAATAAAAGCAGTTATGGAAAGTGTTTGAGATCTCATTAATTATTTCTTTTTTCATTTTAAGACTTAAGGCGAAACATTTACACAACATATTCTATAAACAAAGTGAAAAGCAAGTCATTAATTAGGGTAAAATGCATACAAACCAACAAAAGCTTAGCATTCAAAAGGGTGCAACAGGGGTGAAAGGTAAACTCAATGGAAAAATGGCCAAATGAGTGGGCTACTCAAACAAGCTGATTTACATTTGAATATTGATGATATAAGATAGTTTATGCAAAAAATAAAAATTATAAGTTCACATACACAAAAATGATGAAAATTTAAAAGTCTAACAATCCCAAGTGTTGAGGAGAGAAAGAGAACTTCTTATGACTGGAATGACCATTTTGCAGAGCAATCTGGCCACATCTAATAAAATTGAAGGTATTCCTACAACCTAACCCTTCCTCCCCGAGGCAGGGTGTCTAGAGACACTCTCACATGTTGCAGATGGAAATATGTATAAGAATGTTTTTTGAAGCTTTGTGAAAGGAAAACATTGGGAACAAATGCTTAGTAGCAGGAAAGTGAAAAAAGTACATTGGGCTATGTTCATATGATGGAATATTATATAGTAGTTAAAATAAGTGACTTATAGATACATTCATCAACATGGATAATCTCAAAAACATAACAGTAATTAAAGAAAAAAATCGCATAATGCCAGCAATATGATATCATTTACACAAAATTTAAACCATTTGGACAGTATCTGGTTTATGTATACAGTAAGAAATATGCTCATGGGAGGGAAAGGAATAAGATTGGGAATGGTATGCAGTGGCCTTCAACAATCTCTCTGAAGTTTTATATCACCAAAAAGAATTACAACTATAAACACAGATCAAAAAGTACTAATATTTGACAAATCTATTTGGTACATTTGTGGGCATCTAGTATTCTCTATAATTTTATGACTTTCAATAGTAAACTGTTAAAAAATAGAATATATTTCATATTTTTCTACTAACATAATGCAAATTAATATTAGTTCATTCCTTGTCAGTAAAAATAACAGTAAATATATTTAATAACAATTCTTACAGAGGACTTTTTATAGGAAAAATATCAACATGATAGTGTAACTACACTCATTGGATTGTCACCAAATATTTTGTTTCAAATGAAAGTAGAATATTTCCTTTTGAATTTGAAATTTATAAATTTTTATTTGAATATGCAGATTACCACTCCTTCTCCAGTAGAATATTAGTTGCTTCATTAGTTTTCCACTTTGAGTTGGGAGAATTTTTAATATATAATGGTGATGAGTGATTTTATTTCTCCTCTTAAAGAATGTATCTTCAGTCACTTCTGAAGCTGTTTTCCATAAAAGCACTATATCTATTATCCTGCAATTTCTTATTTGATTTAAATTCTTGGGATTTTCAAAAGACATTTAAATTTACATCTCTCTGATCTACTTTATTTTGCTTTTATTCCAAAGATCTCCAAATACCTGACAGCCTGTATATCCAAATTTCCAACTTCCATACAGATCTGAAGCAGCAGACATGGGATAGCCAATACTACTGACCCCTATATCAGTAAAAGCCAGGTTAATAATGATTGCATTCGTAGGTGTCCGAAGTTCCTTGTACTTAATGAAGATGCCCAGAACTATTAGGTTGCTGAGAATACTTATCACACCTGAGAACACAAAAATGTCATGTACTTTTTAATTTGAATGTTTAAAATAAAATCGATATTAAATATGTAAGCCTTTCAAAAAACATAATAAATTCATTTTAGTCATTGATTTCTTAATGTTCTTAAAATTGTCACATCTTCACAGCCCTGCTGAGAAATAGATATAAGAAAGTGAAGGGCTGGGGATGTGGCTCAAGCGGTAGTGTGCTCGCCTGGCATGCGTGCGGCCGGGGTTCGATCATCAGCACCACATACAAACAAAGATGTTGTGTCTGCCGAAAACTAAAATAAATTAAAAAAAAAAAAAAAAGTGAAAACAAAGAATCTGCTGATTGCATAACTGAAGGTCGGTTTATTTTTTTTCTCTTTGTAGCAGGGATTGAACCCAGGGGCACTCTACCACTGAGCCACATTCCCAGCCCTTTTTTGTATTTTATTTAGAGTCAGGGTCTCACTGAATTGCTTAGGGACTTGCTAAATTGCTGAGGCTGGCTTTGGACTCAGGATCCTCCTGCCTCAGCCTCCCTAGTCACTGGGATTACAGGCATGTGCAACTGCACCTGGCTGAAGTTTGGTTTTAACACCACCACTCTTGATCACACTGTCCTTGAAACTCTCCCTTTGGCTTTCATGACGCCATCCCTGCTGATTTTTAGGATGCAGGTAGTCTTACCACCTCCTTGCTTTTGGCAGTGTAACTCCTCTCCTTTCCTGAAGTTCTTCTTTCTGAAGCCTCGACTATCATTCTATTCTAACAGTACTTTTGTCACTGTTTTCAGCCCTGACACATGCTTCTGTTTCCACATTTTCTTTTTATTTAACTCATTGACATTAAACACTTATTAAACATCTACCATGTGTAAGTCATGTGACTTTTTCAAATGTCTTAAAACTCAGCGTGTCCAAATCTGAATTCTTCATCACACACACACACACACACACACACACACACACACACACACCCCTATAGACTAATGCACACTGCAAGACTTGACTGTCTGGACAGCAAGTGATCCATTGGGATCACAGGTGAAATCACTCTAACCAGGATTCCACAATCTAAGAACTGAGTCTCAGCCTTTCAGTCTAGAACTCAATGTTTTCAGTACCCCAGAATCAACTGAACTGAGGTAGATTGATGACCAAACTTATTGATCAGAGAGCTGATGCATTCTACAATGAGATATTGTTGGATAGGCTGGATGTGCATGTTAACCTGATCAGCAACACCCATATGCTACAAGGAATGCATGAGTTTTCCATAAGGACAGGTATGCTGCCCTGGGATATAACAGTGGAGGAGGAGCAGAAGCAGATTTCAGTGGAGAGAAGTTAGAACCATTACCCGACTCTTGGCAACTAAAGGAGGGTTATGCAACAAACAGGAAGAGTTGTTTCCCATGGAGGAAATTACTTGGTAAGCAATCCACAGCTATAACAAGAGCCAGGGAAGGTTCCAAGCACCAATACACAAAAGGATCAGCTAAGTAGGAATTCCAAGTGCATCTTGGCACCGCAGTCAAAACTTCCATCTTCAGTATTATACTCATCTTCCAGATTCCTTTTCTTTTATTGTTCCATGGTGCTGTCAGAATACACTTGCTATAATAATCATGTCTCTTATCCTCCTCAAAACTTCCAATAATTCCCACTGCCTGTGGGATAAAAATTCAAACTCCCCAGCCTGATCTGACCCTTTGCTAAGGTCTGTTATTATCTCTTTAAGTTCCACACTTGTCAAACAAGCCCTCCATTTTAATTATTTATCAAATGTCATGTTTGTTGAAAATACTGATTCATACTTTCCCCACTTGAAACACCCTGCTCCTTGCTTTCCCATTTCCAAATGCTAACATCCTTCCAATTTCAGATCAAGTCCAATTCTGCCCTTTAGCTGCTTTCTACCCACAGTACTGTTGTATGCGCTTCCTCCCCAAATCCCCAAAGTACTTATACTTAATCCCAATGTTATCTCTTATGTATTCTGTCTTCTCATGAAGTTATCAAGCCCTTTATGAATTCTATATTCTTTGACTATGTGACATGTAGCAAAGCTATTTAATAAAAAGACCACAACTAATAAATGAAGTTTAACTTCAATTATTCCTTTAATTAAGCTTTATTTCTATTGTTCCTTCAAGCTTAATTAACACAGAGTAAATTCAATAACTCTTTGACCTCATTTTTAGCATCTACTACTGTATCATACATATAATACTGAGAAAAAAAAAACAGTGAATCTTTCTGGGCTACCTACAAATCTGATGATTTTAAAAGTCAGATAAAAAATAGTGTAGTAAATTGTTGCCTAGCAAGTACACAATCAAAATAAAGTAACTATATTTTGGGGATAGTCTTAGATATAATGGGTGTATTACATAAACAATTTGGCCTTCTATCTGTTCTTTCTATAGCTCTCTTAAGCACTGTTTTTATTTTCCTAATTGGGAGTGTTTTCTAATAAGTAGGCAGCTGATCACTTCAGTTAGGTCTTGTTAGGGCCCATTTCTCAGTCTACACTGTAAGCAGCAGTGTAAACTGAGATTGATCATCCTTCCCTCTTGAAACATCCACTTTGGTTTCTGTGGCTTCCCTCCAATCTCACTGGCAGGGCCTTCTTAATCTATTTCCTTTCTTCAGCTCTACCTTATTAAATATGTGTGTACTGTCCAACTTTCTGTCCTAGACTCCTTTCTTTTCTCATTCTACACATTCTGTTGAATGATTTCTATCCAATATCAGTCTCATGCTACTCAAGCTTTTAACTGGATATCTAACTGAACCCAGGTGTCTCCTCCTGCCCCAAACCTGATCTTCCTCAGTCATGTTCCCATCTGGTGAAAAGTGCCAACATTTATTCAGCAGCCCCCCAAACCTAGGAGACAACAGCTCCCGCTCTCTCTTTCCCAGTCCCCACATCTAATCAATTCCAGCTTGAGTAATCTACTTCCTTCTGCCATTAGTAACTCTTCGAAGCACTGCAGTGGTCTCCTACATGGTCTCTTAGCTACCACTGTAGCACATTTCTGAAAGGCAAATCAGATCACGTAATTCCTGTTTAAAACCCTTCAGTGGTACCCTGTCTCCTCACAGTTTACATTCCTTCATTGCCCAGAACACACAGCCTCTGTTTCACCTTTCATTTTACAAATCACCCATAGTAATTTCAGATCCTTAAATTTACCACACCCTTCCTTAATTGGGGGAGAGTGTTCAAGTAAATAAACAGAACATTGATAGCAATGAAAACTGGTAAGTTTATAGGACCAAAAATCTAAATGAAAGATTAAAGTTAAATCTAAAGTTAAAAAAAAAAAAAACACCTTGGCTCTTGGTAAAAGTAACAAATGTTTTGCACCATTTTCTTCATAGTTCTGATTTTGATTTAGGAGTTTAAGTGGGCTTTGTTAAAGGAAGAAAATCAGGGGATCTAAAGAACAATATACGCTTGATACAGAGGCAGAACAAAATCTATTTGTAGAGATTAAATATGCTGCCTTCAGTTCATCTACCAAAAACTTGAACAACATATACTCATGGTAGTCCTTAACCAAAACAACCCTCGTAGTTGTATTTCCATGTAATTCCAATAATTAGATTGTCTTTTTGCAGCAGCAGCAGCAGCAAAAAATTTAAATATATATATATATATATATATATTTTTTTTTTTTTCCAGGATTTCACACACTAAAAGTATCCAAATTAATGAATTAACATTCCTGAAATTACTAAAAGTAACTAAGGAACTTGCAATTTTTAACACATATAACTCTAATTATGAATTAGAAGGGAAAACCAAACAATTATAAATTAGACAGGAATATTTGTTATGCTTTTCATTCTACTTTGGAACATGCTTGAATTTTTCATAAGTCAATTCAAAAAATAATGAACAGTTACTTCTAAAACTTGCCACTAAAGTTGGAAATTGGTCAGTATGTTACATTAAAAATATATAAAAAAGCCAATATTTAAAAGATAATCAAAGAATTTGCATTGTTATCTTCCCCAACCCTTTGTCTGCAAACAAGCCATTATATTAATCCAGTATTTGTATCAATAAGTGTGTATGTGGAAAGAAACTGTTGTCCCCTCCTAGTGTAGGTGTCATTTAGGTTCACTTACATGTCATTTAATTTTACTTTTCACAATAACTATAGTAATTTATTCTTGTCTTCACTTTACAGATAAGAAAATGGAAGAGCAAAAAGTGAAGGAACATGGTCTTGGTTTCATATACTAAAAGATGAATCCAAAGCTCAAGAGTTTTCCAGTACAGCATTCTGGAAGGAGTTGAATGTTCAAACCTTGTCCTCAATGACAATACTACCTTCTCTTCTTTTCGAGACTTTTTCTTCCAGAACTTTTGTATCTTTAGCTAGGTTATACTCAAGATAACTATGTCTAGGAATAGTAAATGATATAAAAATACATTTTTGTCACAGCACACATTTTCCCCCATAAGCTTAATTTGACAATGCAATAACCACATTTAATTGTTGACTTTCATTTAAAAACTATTTTACAGAAAATTTTTCAAAGCCCCACTTCACTGTCTCACATTATTTATCAAATTATCCTGGGGCATTTACTTATATCCTCATCTTTGATCCTTACAGCCCAGAAACAGAGGATAATACTTATAAGCAAGCCAATTCTATCGCCTTGTTTTGAAAACTCTACTTTGCTTCCACCCATCGAAAGCAAGGTTAATGGAGAAAATATCCATACCTGCCAGAATCAAGTAAGTTGCAACAATGTTGTGTTCAGTCTGCGAAAAGACAGAGCCATCTTCATTTTTTGAGTCTGAACTGTTATCTAAATTATTCTTTAGCATTTTTGGAAGGAAGATATTGAGACAGCCTTCATAATAAGCCTTCAATAATTATGAACTGTTTCAAGGGCCCAGGAGGAAAGATTTTTCAGGACCAATCATTTCCAGTGAGAGACCTCAAAGAAGGACCTTTTCATAGAGGTCTTCCCTTAACAAGTATAATTGGGCTAAAGAGGAAGGGATTTTAATTCCCAGAGCAAGGGAAAAGCTTATTAGCAAAACAAAGAAATACCAAGTACACACATTTTAACCAATTTGGGCATCAGTCTTATATTTAAGCAGATTATCAAGCACACACATCCTTTTTCAATAATAAACTCAGAAAATCAGTGCAGGAACTGACTTAACTTTTTTGTCTGAAATCTACAAGCCAGATTTAGTCCTCTGTAACTGCTCAGATTAAGGACCCTGTTTTCTCGTTGACCCTTCGAGATTTTCCATTTCAGTTCCCTGTTTCCTTAACAATTTAAATAATCAGAGATAAAAAGTAATCTCCCCCATACTTCCAAATCTCACTCCCCTAAATTTAGCTATCAATATTGTTTGGTGTGCATTCATTCTTAAGCTTTTCTTTGCTTCTATAAACATGTTTATATAAAAGAGTCTGAGGTTTCTCACACTTTTTTCCCCTTTTAAACAAAAATGTGATCTATGCATATAAATATATAAACATTGTGTATATATATGAACACAAACATCATATATAAGTATTATGTAATTTGTTTCCATAAATGCCATATAATAAGTTCAAGGTAATAAACTTATTAATAGATACATATTCATAGCATGGATATACTCCACCATCTACCTCTGTTTAATTACCCACTTTGATATGCACATGAGTAATCAATAGTATTTGGATTCAATCATTCATTTTGTAAAGGTTAATTCTAATATTCTGGATTATCATGTTATAATCTGAAAAACAAGTTGCAATATAATATGAACAAGTACTGTTAAACAAAAGACAAAGTATCACTACTTTTTTTGTATTTTATACCACTACAACATTAAAATCTGATTCTTCTTAATAGTGAACTTCAATCAAGAGAAATGCTTAGATACACCAAAATTAATAGTGTAAGCATGTAACAGAACCACTAGAGGGCTATATTTGTCCATTTACTTACTTTAATTCAATGATTAGCATAATCTTCTCACCTCAGTTCTCTCACATGAATATAAACAGAAGAACACAGGTTGATTAATCTGTTCCCAATGATTTAGCTACTAGTACTCAAATTCTTATTAAAGTAATACTCTGCAGAGTACCTATAATAGAAAAATTATCTTCAGTATTCCAAAACACCAAAATATTTTCAAATAAGACTAAAAAGTAAATAATACTATGAAGAACTCTGTTAAAAGCCTGTGGTTGTTGGATTTTAAGGTTGTTTCCTTGCTTAGGAAAAAGACTGAAAACTGAAGTTTGAAAATGGTCAATGACCTCAAGATATACATAAGGTAAAAGGTGAAATCTTAAGAGATTGTCTACTGCTGCATACATTACTTTCATTATTGCCATTTTAGGTTTTTTTAAATACTAAAAAGAAAAAAAAAAAAAAACCTCTTTAGTAATGTAACACTATTACTTGTCCTTCGGTCAATGCTACTGCCCCTCTGGTACTAATACCATTTAAAAATCAAGAGCAAAATCTCATCCCAAAGACTCTGAATCAAAGAGCCATCTTTCCTGAGCTGTTATGCACAACCACCTCTTTGCATGAAAGAGAAATTTTCAATATCTCATTTATGGCCTATCTGTTGATTAATCTTGCTCTAATTCCATTAATTAAAAAGGATAAGTAAAACCCAAGATACTAATAATAAGCAATTACATGCTATTTAAATGAGCATTAAAGAGTTAATCATTCATGCTAGAAATCTTAATATAAATATTTCCTGCTGAGAAACAACAAGTGAGAGAGAAAAAAAATCTCAAATGATACTTGGTAAATGGTCCCATGTCACGGTATTCTAACTTACTACTATGGTTATTTCTTGATACTACTATACTAACAACGGTGACTGAAACCAATTTCATTTGTAACATCCCTACCCAAGAATATGAACATGTGAAAGGCAATTAAATCATTTATGGTGAATAACACCTTAAACCTTTACAGTCCTCTAAAAAAAAGGAAAATTTAGAAATTTACAACTGTTAATAACGTATCTATGTTCAATAAGAAAAGTTCAATAAGAAAAATTAAGCATTTCTTCAGAAATTTCTTTAACTAGTTCTCACTTGAACATAGCTACTCAAATTTAAATAGATTCATAGTAAGATTTTAAAATTATTAACTACAATTAGAGAAACTGCTTTACTCTATGTACTAACACACAAAAAAGGGAAATAAAAGATGCTAATGTTCTCATACACAAAAGGCAAACATTTGGAAAGAGGTACTAGTTTATAAATAATCTTAAAGTATTGCTCCAGTAGTATGTTTCTTTAGAATATCAGTAATTTATATAAACAAATCCTGTTTTGTTTTTTTCTATCTGTAATTCACTGGGTTTAAGCTCTAGTTGTTCCTTCAAATTTCAAAAACTAGATTTGGTTCAATAAACACACTAAATAATTTAAAGGAATAAAACATTTTATTTAAAAAATTCATATACGATTCAAATGAAAACTCCTTTCCATTTATTAAGCACCCACAGAGTACCAGGCACTATACAAAATATAAAGACTTATTTCTGCTCTTTCAGAGCTAAAATGATGGTTCTGCTGCACTCATTTATGCATAACACTGACACACCAACTCCACTGTCACAAAATGACTACATCTTCCAAGACTTGCTCAAGACATCAGTTTCCAATCCAGAGCAGAAGCAGATCATGCAGTTAAAGCAGAAGTCAACTGATGAAGTCTGTCAGATGCTATATCTAATGTCCTCTCCCTGGGCAAGAGAAAATTAAAGTGTTAACGGACCAGAAAAGAGATTTTTAATATAAGTATTAACCAAATCTCAGATTTAAAATCAACATTAGTCCTATAATTTTAGTAAATTTACCTTACCAAATGTAACTGTCATTCATACTATACCTTTGATTTTCAAATTAAAAATACAGCAAAATGTTAGAAATACAAGAAAAAATTTAAAAGAGGAAAAAAACAGGATATAAAATGAAGCCAAAAATTAGTCTAAAGCAAAGAATACCACAATGTTCTATTTACTTGCTAGCAGAGAGAAAATTAAAAGAAGAAAATTGCAGATAGTATCAATCCTAAAAATTCAGTCATTAAAGACATTTTTTTCTTATACTCACCTCGGAAACCACCACCCCCTCTTCCTCCTCTGAAGCCACCACCTCCTCTTCCACCTCTAAATCCACCTAAAAGGGGAAATTTTATTAAATAACTGTAGCTTCTCACTTGCTGATAAGCCAACAAAGATACAATTCTTATAATTAAAAAGAACAAATATAGATTCACCTATTATCTTACATAAATTTTTTTTCAAAGATAAAAATGGAGAAACTGTAGCAGTTCTCCAATCAGGCAGGAGGGCAAACCTCAGATTACCAACTTTAGACAGGACTCCATCGTTATGAATCAGAAAAACTTGTCAAAGTATGATTTAGCACTATTGCTAAATGTATGATTATCTCAACTTTTAAAATATTTTCTAACATTTTTTAAGTTGTTAATGGACTTTTATTTATTTTTATGTGATGCTGAGAATTGAACTCAGTGCCTCACACATGCTAGGCAAGTGCTCTACCACTAAGCTACAACCCCAGTCCTTACCTTAGCTTTTGCTTATGTAAATACTTTTAATTGAACTAAGGATAGTTTGATTAAAACCATTTATTCTAAAAACAAATGGGAGCAGGTATGGGTAGTTTTCCTCTGGGGATACTACAGAAAATATCATGTGGAAGTTTAACCAAGCTGCATATGTACCATAGGTGATGCTCGGGTGCTAATAAACCTTGAAATTTCAATAGTTACTGTACAGCGTACTGTGTTGCTAAGCGATGATGTATGGCAGGTTAGGTATATTAAGTGAATTTTCAACTAGATTGGAAATCTCTAATTTAGGCTGGGTTTATAGGGATGTAACCCCATTACAAGTCAAACAGCACCAATATTACAAACAGTTCCCAGCATAACATCAAAGCCATGGGTTTTAATTCTGGGTCTGCCAACTGATTATGGCAAATGAACTTCTAAGAGACTCCATTTCCTCATACACAAAATCAGAACATCACCTATCTCAAAAATCTTTGCTAATTATTGAAAGAATGTACATGGATAGTTAGAGTAAGACCAGCTCTCAGCATACAGTCAATATACAATGACAATTATCTAAGAAACTAAACTTCAGTTAAGATAATCATACAGTCATATAGTGTACAATGACATTTTGGTCAACAAAGTCCATGTATAAGACAGTGGTCCCATAAAATTACAATGGAGCTAGAAAATTCCTATTGCCCAGTGACACTGTAAACTGATGCATTATTCACATAATTATGGTGTTAATGATATAAACAAACCTACTGTGCTGCCAGTCATATAAAAGTATAGAACGTACAACTTGGTATATACTTGATAATGATTATGAACATCTATTATTAGCTTATGTGTTTATTATTCTTTTTAATGTAATTTTATAGTATACTCCTATTTATAAAAAAGCTTACTGTAAAACAATGCCATCGGACACCAGCATTAGCCCCATACATCTCATGTTTACCATCTCTCAACTGTGTCAAGATGCCACGTTGGGTGACTGACCTATACTATCTAGATTTGTGTGAGCACACTTAATATTCACACAACAATGAAACTGCTTGATGAGGAATTTTTCAGAATTTATCTGCCATTAAGTAACAAATGACTGTACTTTATGAAACTCCCTAAGAAAACCAAGAGATAAAATAACCTAAGAGTTAAACATCGCTCAAAAGTGAACTGTTAAGGTTTTTTTCTTTTTAAATAACTGAAACAAAGCATTATTACTATGGACAATCTGCCAATACTTGAAAGAAGTTTTACCAAAATAAATAAATACAAGGGAAGTTTGCCTATATACAAAATTAAATTGTACTACATGAATCAGCTGTGGCTATGAAGTCTCATTAGAAATTTTCTCCCATAAGTAACTTACCACCTCTACCGCCGCCTCTGCCGCCACCTCCTCCCCTTCCTCCTCCTCGGCCTCCCCGGCCACCACCTCGCGGAGGTCCTTTCTCACCAGGAGGTCGAGGTAAAAACCTCTGCAGTGGCAGCAACTTAAATGGGTCTATATAAAACTGGAAATTTAATACAAACAATTTGTAAGATAACCTGGGGGACAATACAATATAATGAAAACTGCTTAGGTTCAAATCTTATTCTTAGCACTTATTACTGTGTAGTTCTGAGCAAGGACTTACTTTTCTAGTACCTTGGTTTTCAGTAAAATGTAGATAATAAGGCATGATTGTGTGAGGATCAAAAAATAATGTACATAAACCACCTAAGAAGCATTACACACATAAAATTGAGCATAAAATTTAAAATAAAGCATTGGCGTACCAGCTTTCAAGACTATTACAACGGATCACATCAATGTTTCCTGAACACATTGAGTAATGAATGATATACAGAAACTAACCCCATCCTTTATCTGGAGTTAAGGACGTTTTGGAGCTGATAAAATTTTAAGGAAGCATGTTCTCTCCCGGGTCTTCTACACAAAACACAATCAGAGGCTTCAAAACTGTAATATATTAGTTATAATAATATCTGTAGTCCTCTCTACATATCCCTTTGTTACCCTTCTCTTTGTGGCCCATCATCTCAAAACTATTGTCTAGATCTACATGTGCAGTCTGGCAGCCACTAGCCACATGTTGCTATTTAATGATTAAAATGTGAGAATAAAAATTATGTTCATGAGTCTCGTAAGTCACACTTCAGGTGCTCAATAGCTATGTTGTGGCCAGTGGCTACTGTACTGGGCAGGAACTTCCATCATCACAGAAAGCTCAACTAGGTGGCACTGGTTTCCAGACTTTATCCCAAGTTGGATAAAGAAACCCTGAACTTAAAACAGATAACACTGGACTGGAAACCAAAAGAAATACAATGTGCCCAACTTAGTACCTGTGATTTAGGGGAAAACACACACACACATATATGAAATACTAAATCCTCAAATTAATAATACTGTAAGAAACAGCAAGGGTATGAATCAATTCAAGTGACTATAACAGGTACTTTTCTTTACCCAGGTTGCTAGATGAGAAGCCTATCTCAGCACAGTTTCTTTCTAGGCTCTTCAGCTCCAGGGACCCCCTAGCAACAAGGCATAGTTTCCATCTCATTTCCTATTCCAATCTAGCTTCTGGGTCTACCATTCCACTGGCTACTTGAATTCCATGTTGCTAAACCCAAAGAAGACTTTACAGCATTTTGCCAGAGCTGAGCAACTCCTCTCGTAAACACTCCATTCTCCTGGGATACTACTTTTAAACATGCTTGTAGTTTGACTCCCTTTCTGCAGAAAATATTTCTTAATCTCCGCTAGGACATTTACATTTGGGAAGTACCCTAAAGCTCTTCATCCATGTTTTTTCTTCTCATTCTTTTAGACTGTTTTATAAACTGCCTGTACACTGACAACTTCCAAGTTTCATCTCTAGTTCATATCCTTCCTTTAAACTCCTGACCATTGGACTATTTCACAAGTACCTTAAACGCATTATGTCCAAAACCACTCCTTATTTCCCCTTAATTCTCTCTTTTCCATAGTTGCTCATTTCAGTAAATGGTGCCACCATCTATAAACATGCTGAAGTTTTTTTTTTCCAACCTTTTCAACCTCAGTAGCTAGTCAGTTACCAAGTCCTATTGATACGATGACCTACATTTCTCTTAAATCCACCTACTCTTCTGCATTTCAACTGTCTTTCCCTCAGCCAAAAATACCTCTTGTAAGACTACTGTAACAACCTACTGGGCCCCTTCACACAAAGTACTGATTCCTTTCCAATGTGCTTTTCTATTTTTCCATAGTGACTTTTTTAAGAATAAATTTAAATGTTATTATCCTATAATTTAAAAGGGGAAAAAAAGTTAAAATCTGAACTCTTTGTGATGACCTAGAGTAATCAAGCTCCTTCCAATCTCACAATTTTACTTCACATCTTTCCCCACTTCTCCTAGAGGTTCTATACCCACACCATAGGACCACCTCTTTTAAATACTTACGTGGCTTACTGAGATTTTGCAGTTTACTTAGACTGTACTTCATCCTCTTTGATTGCCCAGTGGTTTCTAAGTGCATTGTCTAACTACATCAAAATTATCCTGGAGCTTGGATCTGACCCCTACTAAGAGCAACTGGGTCAAATTTCTAGGAATGGGACCTAAAAGGACATCTTAAACCCCCCCTTAGATAACTCTGAAGTGCCATCAGTATTGAGACTCATTCCTAGTCAACTTTCAGGTCTCAACTTTGAGCCCATTCTAAATCTCGTCCCACTATAAAGATTCTAATGGGAACCTATATATTTCCTGCACAACATTTATCTTGTTATGAAAATACTTGTGAAATACTTTTAATATCCATCTTTTTCCAGATGTTTTACAATGTAACATTTTACTTAGAATGTTTGCTCATGCAACTTTTCTTGAGGGGTGGGGGGGTGGGGGAGGAAGCTGGGGATCAACTGAGGGCCTCACCCATACCAGGCAAGTATTCTACCACTGAGTTACATCCCCAGCCCTTAAACATTTTAATAATTTAAAAAAAAAAATCCTCTGGATTTTTATAGATTTTGCTAACATGAGCAAGGAGTACATTCTGAAAGGATCAGTAAGCTCAATGTTTATAATATAGAACATTTCACTTTAACCCATTTTGTCCCACTATCCCAGATAGAGAATAGCTATAAAAACTTAAATTAAGCAACAAATACACCACTGATGGTAACTTCAAAGTAATAGTCAAACATTTATTATGTTTGCAGAATTGAAAACTTGGGATTGATTAGGTTAAGAGCTTCACTAGTGATACAATGGGGGAGACTGAAGTGCACCAAGTAGTACTATCCAAAGGTATGTCATTCCCTTATAAAACCAAGGATCCTAAGTATTGTAAGCTTGACTCACCTTCTGTAGTTTTTTAAAGGAAGCTGCCTTCATGTTTTCTGACAATTTAACTGAAAAATACTATTGATTTTATTAAGGAATAAAAAATTAAGATGAAGATACTAAACCTTCTGAATTCATTTATCATTCTATAAACAAAGTTACAAGGTACAAACATATATCGAAAAGAGAAACAATAGATTCCCAGAGGAAATGGAAGTTTTCTTTAAAAAACAAAACATACCATACCATTCCAGCAGCACCATAATATGCAATGCAACCAATTTAATCCTGTAGCTCTTATCTAAAAGTTCATAATTTCTAAATTTTCCAAAAAGAAAGTCATTTTTCTAGGGCTTTATTTCAGGTCATATAAATGAATACTTTTTCCCCCTCTTCATTCTCCTTATGATCCAACCTGTTGTAATACTGATTTATTCATGTATGTGTACGTATTTTACTTTGGGGGATTGAACCAAGGGATGCTCTGCCACTAAGCTACAACCCTAGTCCTTTTTTAAAAAAATTTTTGAGACAGTCTCACTAAGATACCTAGGCTGACCTTGAACTTGGGATCCTCCTGCCTCAGCCTCCCAAGATGCTAGGATTACAGGCATGGACCACCACACCTGGAAATGCTATCTTAATTAAGAAGTTAAATTTAATGACTATTTAATTGCAAAGGGGGAGGGAGATAATAAATTCATGGTCAGTGAAATTACCAGGTTATCCAATTAAAAAGGATACAAAATCTCTAAGTTGTCCAAATATTTCATCCACTTTTCCAATTTGTTCTTTGTTTTCTAAATAAACAGGAGCATTGAAATAAGGCACCTTATTTTCATCTGTGGTACATTTACAAACTATGTCATCTTCACAAGGATGCAGGAACTCGCCTAATACTGAAATAGGACAAGAAAATATGAATATATGAAACTATATCAAAGGATACTGGCCAATGTCTCTGATTTCTTAACTGTCTGAAATTTCACTATACCTGCTCTCTTCTGAGACAGAAGAGCACAGTCATTAACAGTGTGGACTTCTTGAGCTGACATGCCCACTCCACAACTTACAGCTAGTAGCCACAGCTACTAGTTAAGGTGACCTAGGGAAAGGTCTTCACTTTCTCTCTGCTTTAGTGTTCTCTTTAATATGGGGATAATAACATATAAGCTGTATCTACACCAACACATGATTAAGTGGAATAATAAATGTCAAGAGTTTAGAATAGTGCTTGACTGACACACTGAGACCATTCAACTGTAAGTAATCTTATTATAACTATTCCAATTTCATCAAACACTACGCTTTATTTTCCTGATCTTTTCCTCTTTCCCCCAACCCTTAAATGTAAATCAGTCTCCATTCTTGTCTTTTTCCCTCTCCTTTCCTAGAACCCATTCCCACTACCACCTCTTTGCCAATGATTCTTAATCATTTTCAGGCAAGTATACAGCCCCAAAATATCTAACTCTATTTCTAACTATTACCCCAAATAGAACACTCATCACATGCCTGCAAAATTAACTCTCCTTCCCTATCCAAGCTCAAAACCTTTCATTTCTAATATCAGTCAAGTTCTAGTTACTTTTTTCCCTTCAAGTCTTTTCCACCTGACCCTTCCATTTTTTCCTCACTGTTGTCATCCTAAATCAAGACTTCAATGTCTCACGTAAGGATTGTTATAACAGCCTGTGAGCTGGGACCACTGCATTGGGCTATAGCCCCCCTTGAACCATCTTCACACAGATCCACCCATTCTTAGTCAGGCTCTGTTCACTTAAAACCCTAGCAAAGAAACTTAATTCTGAATCAATTTTCTCATCTGTAAAAAGGGGTAAGGATCCATTAATGCCTAATTAATCTTTCCAGCCTAAGCTCAAGTTCCATAGTACATTCTCTAATATCTTTTTAACTACAGTAACATTTTAAGTCAGTTTCTAGCACCTCCCACCCCAAGTTGCATACTCCTTTTCGGAGCATCCAACTATCACTCATACTTGCTGATAACAAACCCACAAACAAACCCCACTTCTCCAAACAGGCTAAATAAACTTTGAAGACGACATACAGACTACACGTTCCGGAGGTCCTTGATCTTGGCTTTTGTTAAAGCCTCCGCGGCCACCCCCTCGTCCAAATCCTCCTCTGCCGCCGCCTCTGAAGCTGCCGCCTCCTCCACCTCGAAAGTGGTTGTTGCTACTGCCACCACGGTTGAAGCCGCCGCCACCACCACCACCTCGGTTAAAGCCACCACGACCTCCGCCTCGAAAAGACATGATCTTTCCTACCTGGTGGAAAAGACAGTAAGTACCTTATGATCATTGTGGTCTACGAATACACACGTGATATTCCTGCGCCTCGCTCAGAACACCATAAAAAAGAACAATTATGACAGCATCCCTGACATTTCGCCCACACCGCCAATATTATCTTCCCATGGCCCCAGGAGCGCCGCGCGATCACACACCAGCCTCGCCGCCTGCGGTTACTACCTCCTTCCCAAGTAGGAAGCAAGGTCTTCAAGCTGCTTGCCTTTCTTCCTCCCTCCCTCCCGCAGCTGCGTTCTGCTTCCCACATTATCTGACCCTTTTGCTTCTCTGACCACTCACCGCCGCCACGTGCACCTTTGGCCCGGGCCTTTACGTTCACACCCACCCGCAGGACACTTCCGCCGAGCTGGAACCTCCTCGGCCACCGTACGGCATAGACTTTAAAAAAAAAAAAATACAAACTCGAATTACTGGTTTGCAAAAAGAGCCAGTCACGGAGAGAGGCAGCGACACTGACGCCTTTCTAAACAAGCCTTCAAAGCCGGAAAAGAAGCAACAATATCTAACTCCAACCAGGAGTTTACGACAGTAAGATCAACTTGCTTAGCAAGAGAAAGCGGAAGTAAAGCGAAACGGCAACCATTACGTCAGGACGTTACCGGAAGTATTGCCGTCGTGTTGCCCTAGGAGATAGCGGAGTTAGGGACCCGCCTCCTCTTGCCGGAAGTCGGGCGTTTAAGTGTCAGGCGAGGTTGCGCTCCTTCAGTCTTTGCTCTCTGGTGTGGTTCTTTTCCCACCCTCAGCCTGGAAAACCGGTCTTTAACCTCGTTCATTCGTGGTCGCGAAGTGTGACCATGGTTCCAGGCCGCGCTCTGCCCAGAGGTGGGTCTGGCCATATCAACCTGTCACAGCTGGCGGAAGTGCTTGCATTCTTTCGAGGCTCTTGTTTGTTGCAGATCTTTTGAAATATACGCCCTTGTGGGCTGAACTGTGCCTCTCCATTTATCCTCTGGTTTCATTAAAGAAAGAAAAGTGTATATGTTTAAAGAAATTATTATCTGATAGGAAGCCAAACTCACCTTTTAATCTTTTGTACAGTACAGTTGATTCATTCATCAGGTACGACGTTTTGAGCACAGATGGGATTAATAGAAGTTTCTCCTCATTTTTCCGTAAGCTTTTGGTATCTGACATAATCCCCACATTGACCAAAATTCCCTCACTAGTAAAGGTAGTGATCTCTATTATATTTGGTTGACCTCTTTTTTTATGTTAAACCTCTATGATCTTTCCTTGATATTTGACACAGTCTACTGCCCCTTTGAAAGAAGGTGGAGATTGGTACCCTATTTCAGAGCGTTATTGTAAATGGAATTTTGAAAGACAGTTTGTAAACTTTATTATGGAAATATTGGGAATCCCAGTATGTCTACACTAAATATAGTGGGCACCTAATAGCCCTGAAAAGGAATTTGTTGAGTATATTTTAATTCAAATTTGATAAATGCACTTTAAATTCTGTACATCTTACAGGTATAGAATTATTCATAATTGCCCTACTTTGTATATTTTTTTTCTTTTTGGTACCAGGGTCTCAACTCAGGGGCACTCGACCACTGAACCATATCCCCAGCCCTTTTTTTGTATTTTATTTAGAGGCAGGGTCTCCCTGAGTTGGTTAACGCCTCGCTATTGCTGAGGCTGATTTTGAACTCTGATCCTCGTTTTTCAGCCTCCTGAGCCACCGGGCCCAGCTTCCCTGCTCTATTTTGTGTTGTGCAATTTAACATTAAGTTTGGTGTTTCTATTTCCATTTGGTGTCCCGCTATTATCTCCAACTCCAGTATGATAAAAACCATTGAACTTGTATAAGAACTTTAAGATCACCTGTTACCTAACTACTTTATAAATACTCGACATTCAGAGAAGTGAAATACCTTCACCAGCTAGTAAGAACAACAGACTAGAACTTTGATTCTCACAATCCTCAGTCCTTTATTGTCCCTCCTACCTCCACCCTATCCTCTTCCCAAATTGTTCATCTTTCCATTTCCTATATGTCTTCATGGTAGCATCATACTCTTGGTTTCTAATCTCTGAACTCAGACCTTTGAGCACTCTCCTCCTTGTTTACCATCACTACCACCATCCCTACCCCAGCCTGGTTGCAATCTCTTTTATCCAGAGCTATCAATTTATTTTCATTTCTTCCAAAATAACTTTGTATTTGTCAGCAACTGATTATAGGCCTCTTGACACTCATGCTTCCTTGTCTTATTCCTGCCCTGAATAATCCAATACAATTCTACAAGAATTCAAATATTCAGAAATAATAACAGTGAGTAATGGCATCTTCTCACATTATGAACATCTTTATTATCTTAAATACTTTCAGGCTTAACTTCTTCCTCCCATCTGTACTGCATTTTATGACATATTGAACTTAGTAAGTTTCCTTATACCATTCCCATTTCCTTTAGCAACAAATCTAAGTAAAACCTCTCTATCAATTATGCCTTCTATGTAATTAACTTTCCCCCCCCCCCGTGCCTTACACCATCCCTTTGTCCCATCAAGCCAGCATTGCTGCCTTTCTTCTCTTTCTCTGTCTTTGTCAATTGCTTCCTTTTGCTAGCTAGCATAAGTTCCATTTCCCATCTACTAGACCAATCTCTATTTTTTCACCCTGGAGGAACTCCTGAAATAATTTTCCTGACTCCAGAGCCACCTCAAAAAAAAAAACCTACACACACACACACACACACACACACATGCACACACGTCACACAAAATAGCATGATAAGCAAGTCAGAAACAATGATCAGATAATAATTGTCAATGCTTTTGTTTTAACTGTGGCAAAATACACGTAAATTTACCATCCTCATCATTTTAAAATGTATAGCTCAATGATATTCAGTACATTTACGTTCTTGTACATCTCTGCTCTTTTGAATACAGAATGATGTTTTTCTGTGAATCTGATTTATCTGCCTACTCTATAAGCTAATAAGAATAATAACTCACAAAGAATATTAACTAATGCAAAGTAAATGAGAGAGAAAACTTCAGCTTTTTATTTTAATTTGGTAAAAGTTACAATTTTATTTTAATGAATGTTGATTTGTTTTTATAAGCCTAGATATGCACAAGAGTCATTTTAAAATGAAAATGATGAAATGTGTTTGTTCAGTGTGAAATCTTGTCTTTTGTTGTGTTTACACCCATTCTAAGTTGAACTTGAAATTGGCACATAGATTTCATTTTCAACTGAAATGAGATAGTTTCTGTCTTTACTCATGATGCTCATTCAATAACAACAAAAAAAGCTTTCTCACACAAATAAAAAGTTGAAAAGTATGGCAAAATGATCATTCCTTTCCTAATGAACAACCGAATGCTTTTCTTTCACAGAAGAACAGAGTTTAGAGAAGGGAAAATCAGTACATTTCATCTGTTTACAGTCATAAACTTATAAAGTTCTTCCCTTTCTGTCAAAGTCAGGTGCTCAGGATGATAAGATTCAGGGAAAGGGGCAGTCATCCAGTGAAACAGTGTGTCAAAGGAGAAGGAAAATATTATTTAACCTGTTCAATTTTGTTCTGCAATCTTCCCAAAGTGGTTTTCAGTAAGACTTGAGACTTCCTCGCTCTCAAATCCAAGCAGCAATGGAAGGATTTCAAGATTTCTATTTGCAATATGACTTTTCCAACGATTTGATTTCCATTTAAACCTAGGAATCTTATCACTGTGAGTCCAAATATTTTCTCTAGAGCTTTGAAAATACTTGTTCAACTAGTCCATTTGATGAAAGATATCTGCTAAGTAGCTAGTTTCTGCAGCCTTTCTTCATCTTCAAAGCTGACAAAAATCTGGATTACTTTTTTTTTAATGGTACTGGGGATTGAATCCAGGGCCTTGGGCATGTGTGGCAAGCACTCTACCAACTAAGCTATATCCCCAGCCCTCACCTTCTATTTTCTGAAAAGTACTCCTACAATTCATTTTCCAACTCAAGCATCCTGTTAAGAACCAAAATCTGTATTAGTACCTTTTCTTTATAATAAATTACCCAACAGTTAATTATTTAAAACAACAAACATCACTTTGCACAATTTCTATAGGTCAGAAATTCAGGCCAGGTGTAGTGGCTTATATCTGTATATCCTCTCTGGAGGCTAAGGCAGAAGGATCACAAGTTTGTGGCCAAATTGGACAACTTAGCAAGATCCTGTCTTAGAATAAAAATATAGCTGTTGCTACAATGAGGATCTGGGATCTGGGCTCAGTCGCTGGTACATGGGGGTTGAGGGGCAGTGTTTCAGATCCTAGGGTTTTGTTTTGTTGAGTTGTGTTGTGGTTCCAGGGACTGAACTCAGGGCCTCTTGTATGCTAAGTATTCGCTCTACCTCTGAACTACAGCTACAGCAAAAAAGGAAATAAATCCAGGAATGTCATTAGCTGGATAGTATTTGTAATTCTCCTTTCTATGATTTGTAGTTCTCCTTTATTATGATTTGTAGTTAAGTGCTTTTTCAGTTTTGCTGGAGCCATTGCTGCATTTATTAGTTGGGGATTCTTCATCACAATTCTATGTTTTTTATCAGAATTACTGAGGCTTACAATTCTCTCCCACTTCGTCCTTACAATTCACCACATTGAATTGAAAGATTTGTAAAACACAGGTGGTAATCAAGTATTGTGAACCTATAAAGCAAGTCAAAAAATACTGAATCTGAAAACAGTTTTTTCAAGACAATATGAAGATGATCATCTGGTAGTAATGAATTCTAACAGCATAGAATTTGCATTTCCCCAAATGGTGTCATGTGAGGGATATTGGTTTTTACAAATTCTTTTTTAAGTGCAAAGAAGGATGTTACAGCAAACCATTTATTAAGACTACTTTTGTTGATAAGAACAGCACAGGACTTAGGTTGTCATCCTTGGTAAGAAGTGCAATAAGAAGGAAAAAACTTTTACTAAGGTTATTTATTATCTCCAGGTGGTCAGGAAGTTTGAAGAAACCTGGGATTAGAGTTCTGGAACAAGGCCATACCATATGCAGCAGAGAATTATACTCCATTTGAGGGTATGATTGTGCGCTTCTGGTCCCTGATAAATGCCCATGCCCCTTTTCAGCTTACAGGAAGGAACGGCTTTATTTATTTATTTTTTGTGTGTGTCCATGTTTTATTTACATAGGTACCATTAAAATACAGTATGCCTTCAGGGTCACATTTCTAAAATTAAGCATTAAATACTGATCTCTTCTCCACCCAACCGCCCACACCATTCTCCCAAAACCACACACAACAAACTCCTCTGCAACCTCACTTTAAACCACAAGGGACACTTGCTCCTGGCCCAACCTGGACACTACTGATGGCTGGCACCAGAATGCTACAGGAACTGCTTTATAGAAAATCTGATATAACTTGTAAGGGAGGAATAAAGGGAGCATGGGACACTATGTCACCATGTGGCCAGAACTGCCTTCTGTCAATTGAGTACTTGGGTCCTCACAGATTTACAAAGCATAAGATTAGGCAGATATAGCAACAATGTATCTTTTATTTTTATGTTTTGCAGTGCTGGAGCTGGACTGAAGGGCCTGGCACATGCTCTATAAATGCTGTACCAATGAGCTACATACCCAACCCCCAAAATGTATTATGACATCTACAACCAAACACAAACACCACCAGAGGCTACAAGCAAGGTACTTTTAGCAGGTATCCCAGAACTATTTGGGGATCATCCAAATGGATGCCCATGCCCCTCCCTTACAGGTCACACATATGGCTATATGGGGAATCTACTTAAGGAAGAGAGAAAAACCAACTGAAGGAGGAGAGAAAAACTTGCAATGGGTTTGCTTAGCATGCAGGTACAAGTCAAAAATAGGCAGCATCTGTATTACAATCACATGGGTACTTTTGAAAGACATTGGTGAGTAAAAATCCTTCCTAGAGGCAGAACTTAAGGGGGGCACACTTGATCATCCACTCCAAATGAAAACAAAAGTGGACTGGGGTCAGATTATATATGGAGCCTTAGACAATTGCCTGATCATCTTTGTTTTGTAGAATGAAAAATATTTGAAGTTCAAGAACAAAAAGTTCTGGGATTGAAATATGGAGTATATATGGGAGTTAGCAGGAAATCTTTATAACATATGTTCATGCTCACTGATGCATCTGCTAGAGGAAAAAATCATAAATAATTTTGAAAATGCCAGTTTGGTATTAACCATTCTCAGCCATCAGTTCCCCAGTGCTGACATGATGGGCACAAGAATGAAATGATGATGGAATCAGGGATGGAGATGACCCATGAAAACAGAACATGGACCTCCATGAATCATTGAGCCCTGCCATCAACAAATGCCCCATCCAACAGCAAGAACCCAGTGCTGTGCCCACAAGATGGCACAATTTATCAAGGAGACCAACTAGCCATTTGGTGACAAACTAACTACCTATGATCCTTTCAATCTTAGAATGGCCAGTGGTATGTGCTCGCAGGAATAGATGGTGAAAGCAGGAGCTGTCATTAGGACCTACATTGCAACAATTCTGTGTACAAAGCATCTGATGGGCCATGCATATGAATAAGCTGGTGAACATCCTGATCCATGATTAGCATCCTGATTGGACAAGGGACACATGATCACTGAGTGTCTCATTCTGATTGGAGAAACTCCTCAAAAGTCAACAGCAAATAGCTTTAAAGGTCACCTTCAGCAATACCATATAAATCTCTAGACAGCAGCAACTCAGATGTTACCCATTTGGGACCCTGCCTTTATGGGAGCTGCACTTCTTATCTGTTTAAAGAAAAACTAATTTTACACTCCATTGTCCATGGGTCTTACTCAAAGAACTTACACCTTACCACTGTGCATCTCAATGTGGGTGTCCTTTTTCTTCCTGCAGGGGTTCAGTTAGTACCATGGTGACAGAGTGTCTAATTTTCCAGCAAGGGATCCCAAGGATCTAAGGAGAGTACATACTTGATAGCAAAAGAAATGCAAGAATTGGCTTATGACCATGCAATCCACCAGTCATATCACATATCACACTACCCTAAGTTGGGTTAACATTGGAGTGGCCTCCAGAATGCAAAGCTGGGGTGCTACTTAAAGGCAGTATCCTATAAGAACAGGGTGCTATTCTACAGGGAGCATTATGTATATATAATCAGACTTATATATAGCATTGTATTACCAATAGGACGGATACATGGGTCTAGTAACATGAAGGATAGAGGTAGGAATGACCATGCTTATCATCATTCCCAAAGACCAACTGGGGGCTTTGTGCTTCCTGACCCCAATAGTATAGACTCTGTAGGGTTAGAGGACTTGATCCCCAAAGAACCACACTTTCACCAGGAGCACAGTAAGAATCCTGTTGAACAAATATAATCTAAGGTTTCTGCCTGGTGCACATTGGGATCCTTGTGTCTAGAGACTAGCAGGAAAGAAAAGGAGTCACTATATTGATGGGTAATTGACCCTGTTCATTCAGAGGATGAGGGCTACTGTAATTACAATTAGGGCAGGAAGGAATATGTGTGAAATCTACCTGATCTGTTGGGGTAACTCTTGTGACAGTAAAGGAATAGTAACAGCAATTTGGTCTGAGAAAAGAATACTACCCAGGGACTTTGACAACTCCTAGAAGAGGTTGTGGATTATACCATCAGGTAAGCCACTAAAACCAGCAAAGGTGGAAACCAGCAAAGGTGAAGGGACTCTGGAATGGATAGAGAGGAGACAGAGGATGAGTATCAATGGTAGCCCAATATCAACTGCAAGAGCAGGGCCTATAGTTTTTTCCACTAATTCCCTCTTCTAAGTTTCCTTTCAGGAAAAGAGGGCCACAGGAATTTTGAAAGAGACACTCTTGGAATATATATGAAAAGTAGATCTAAAAGGTATAAGATTTTCAAAGATACAGAAATTAGTTTCTAGATCCCTCTTCAAAGAAAATCTTGCTACCTGGCTGTGAAGAGTATGGTTGGAATACACCTCCTCCTAGAGATGGGGGTGTGGCTTAGTGGTAGACCCTGATTTCAATCCTCAGCACAGCAAAAAGACATTTCCTGACAGCAAAGAATTATCACATCCCTCAGGGTCTTCCTCAGCTACAGAGAACTGCCTCACCTTAGAGTATGCCCTTCCTGGTTCCCACATCAGGTCACCATTATACCCCAAGAAAATCAAGATATAAAGCCCCTTCCATTTCTGCCAGACCCAGGGACACTAACAGATCACACATTTGCTCTACCAGCAGGCCAAAGCTCTTTTGAAGCTGCATAGAAGTTCTTCCTCTGCTTATTATCCCACCCTTCCTTCTACAGGTATTGATCCCTAATAATATTCTTATACACCAAGCTCTGTCTCAAAAGGTTTTCAGTGCTTAGGGAATATAACTTGGTCACAACACAATAAACACATAATAAAAGAGTTGTGTTTTTGAGAATTTTGCTTGTATGTTGCATAGTTTTCAATATGATAAAATTTTATTTTTACCATCTTCATGTCTTTAAGGAAAAAAATTAAAATTTTTATTTTACAAAAAACAAGAAATTTGCTTCCAGTGTACTTTCTGTCTCCCCAGAAAACAGAAGTGAGGCATTTGTCTTTAACAAGGTGGGGCAATCACTCCCTTCTGGAGGAGGAAGTTTCTATTGGTCACCTCCTTCAGCTATTTGCTAGGAAGGCCATTTTTGGTTTCAGTTACGGTAAAACTCTTTGGATTTTAGCCAAATTCTTTCTGGGTTCAAAAGTACAAAACTCTTTAGGAGGATTGCTCTTTTTAAATATTTTTTCAGAGGTTAAAAATTAAATTTCAAAAGACTCTCTGGGATGGACAAGAGTCTTCAGCAGAGACATAGACCCTGGACACCTCCAACATGAAGCTTATTCATGTTGTTTTGTTACTTTTGTGCTTCCACTTAAGTTTTTGCAAGGTAAGTAACTCAGTATTTATATAATCTATTTTAAAGATTATGAAAACAGAGAAAATTTTAAGATCTGATTTGGACTTAAATATTGCATAGTTTGGTTACCAAGAATGCTAGTAAATAGTAACTAGCAAGTATTTTATGCTAATATTTTGTTAAAAGTTTTAAGAAAATCATTTTTTTATATGCTTGGATAAGCACGTAGACAGTGAACCGAACAAGAATTTTACTAATACAAGGCTATAGTTTACTGTCATTATATTAAATCAATAAACATATACCATGCTTCTTCTATATGTAAGGCATAGTGCTAGGAAAATAGTAAGACTAACCTCTGTTCAATAGCCTTTTAGCAAAGTTATAGAAAGATGTAAATATGTCAACATGAGAATAATAAAAAATCTAAATTAAATTTGAATATTCAAGAAAAGGGAATATCATAAGATGGAATATCCTTACTCCTTACTTATGATGAAGTTTAGTCCTGATTAAACCCATCATAATTTGAAAATATAAATAAAAAATGCATTTAATACAACTGAACATCATAGTATAACCCAGCCTACCTTAAATGTGCTGGAAACACATTAGCTTGTAGTTGGGCAAGAACATCTAATAAAAAGCCTATTTTATAGTAAAGTGTTGAATATTTCATGTAATTTACTGAGTACTGTGCTGAAATGATGGACACTTTGTAGACATGATGAATTGCCAAAGCACAATATCCAAAAAACACTGGAAATCCAATAGAGCATTATGTGCCTTGTGGTTGCTTTGGCTGGCTGAGAGTTGCCGCTCACTGCCAATGCCCAGCACTGCACAAGTGTATTCTACTATATATCACCACCCCAAGGAAGAGTAATGAGTTTTCCTGAATGTGTATGGCTTTCGTAGCATCAGAAAGTCAAAAATTCATAAATTGAACCATTTGTATATGTTTAATTGCCCAAAATTATAAAAACAGAGCAAAAGACTTAATGAGAGGACAAATCACAAATGCTAAAGGTCAGAAAGAGATTATGGATCATGTGGGATCTGAGTGAAACCTATAGTTCTTGATTAGATTTGATCCTTGGTGAGAAAAAGTGATGCTTTCCAATCCTTACAGCCAGGAAAAGCAGCAGGTCCAACCATAGGAAAGCAGCAAAGTACCAGGTTCTGCTAATCTACCCATCTGATCGGAGGGAAGGCTTTGTGGGCTACTAAGGAAGTTAAAACTGAAATGACACGTTGTGACAATGTTGGGGAGTTGTCTATTAAGTTTAAAAATGTTGACACTATTTTATATATAATTGGTGAATGCTAGCTTTTGTGGTCAAAGCACTTTGAGATAATATTCCAAGAACATTTTTTTTAATACCAGCTTGTAGAAGCAACTATTTAAAGAAAACTAGTTAAGAAATCAGAATTATATAATTTAAAGAAAACTAGTTAAGAAATCAGAATTATACAGTTTACATTTGTTGTAACTTCCAAAATGTGTTATCATCATTGCAGTGTTTCACAGAACAGAGAAATAAATACTCTTTGATAGAAATTGATTAAAATAATTGTACATCCATAAATAAACCATTATGTAGCCATTGAAATGATATATAATTATTAAAATAAAAATCCCTACTACGGTCTTTCTTATTATAGAAAAAATGCATACACATACATACATATGCATAGATATACACAAGCGGACTTATAACTACTTATATATGACAATTAAAAAGTTAATGTATATTATAAAATAGTTAACAGTATCTGTGGGTAACAGAATTGCTGGTGATTTTATCTTCTAATTTCTATATTTCTAAATTTCAGAATTCAGAAATTTTTATTTATTTTATTAAAATATGTGTATTTATAATTAGAAATTTTATTTTTGAAAATAAGAAGTATTTCAGGTCCATTTTTTGATTTCTGGAACAAAAACAAGTTAAAAATAATAAGTTGTAGTAATATTCACTTAAAGAAAAAGACTTTAATATTATTAAAGTCTTCCAAAAATAAATCCTTTAAGAAATACAGTTTAAGAAAGGTATCAAATTTGTGAAAATTTCAGAACTTCTTAAAATATTAATTTATGAAAGAAAGTAAATTTTTTTATACCACCTTCTGGGAAGTAGACATTTTTTTAAAGGAGTTTATATAAAGACAACCTAAATGTGTTCAAATAGTTTAAAGATATGCCTGTTTTCAAAATGAAATAAAATATATACATCTGGAGAAATTTTTGTTATTCTAAGACTTGGAGGCAGGTTTCTTCCTAGAGGATTAAAAGCACCTCTCCCCTCTTTAAAAATCAAAACACCTTGATAGAGGTGGATTACTTCAGTGAGTAGAGTGAACTGGCAGTGAGATAGAATTGAATTGCTCTCGATATTAAAGTAAGAATGTCATCCCACCAGGTCCATTTTACCCATTATGCAGTTTACTGATTACTGAAATAATGATTTTTACAAAAGATGAAGAGTTTACTCACAGGCATATGAGTGTGGAGATGGAAAAGCAGGTCTCAATCTGCCTCCCTGAAATAATGTTTGGGGATATTTGGGCAAAGACATAGGGAAAGATTATTGAAAGTTAAGAAGTAACTGTTTCCCTCAGGGACTCCCAAATCTTCTCTAGAATATTAGGCTTCATTTCACAGGAGCTCAATTGGAGTGAAATTGGAGCTTACTGCTAGAGGCCACCTCATCTGAAACAAGGCAACTGATGATGCTCATTCCCAAGTTAAATTGGATTCCTGCAAATTTTAGCTAATGTCTTTTTAAGACTGTTAGCCAGTTTTCTGCCACTGTGACAAAATACCTACCAGGAGGAAAGATTTATTCTGCCTCACAAAAGCTTCAGTTCATCATTACACATAAATTTGATAAGTTTGAACATAAAGTATACATCATGATAACATTAGAACAGTATACACCAAAAGCATAGCCATCATCTAAAAGTTTTCTCTCACTCTTTTTATTTATTTGTGTGTGTGTGTGTATGTGTGTGTGTGTATGAGAGAGAGAGAGAGAGAGAGAGAGAAGAGGGGGTGGACAGAGGCAGAGAAACTCTTGACAAAAGATCTTCCTCTTAGCAAGTTTTCAAGTATACAGTACAGTATTATTAAGGTACTATGCTGTACACATCTCTAAGAATTATTCATCTTGCATAACTGAAACTTTATACCCTTTGACTGGTACTTTCCTGTTTCTCAATCTTTGGCAACCACAATTCTCTGGCGTCTAGGTGTTTGACTATTTAGATTCCTAGTGTAAGTGTTATCATGTAGTATTTGTCCTTCTTTGTCTGGGTTATTTCACTTTGATTAATGTCCTCCAGATTTACACATGTTGTTGCAAATGGCAAAATTTCCTTCTTTTTCAAGGCCAGCTAATATCCCATCCTTGTATGTCTGTATCACATTTTCTTGATTCCTCTAATGATAGCCATTTAGGTTGCTTCCATGTCATGGCTATCGTGATTAAAGCCACAATGGATGTGCGTTTTCAAGACCTGGTTTCAATTCCTTTGGATATGCCCAGAAGCAGAATCATGAAACCATATAGTAGTTCTGTTTTTAATTTTTTGAGGAACTTTCATGCTGTTTCCCTCTTGTGGCTGTACAACATACATTCTCACAAGTGTACAAGAGTTCCCTATCTTCATGTCTTCATCACTATTTGTGATGTTTGGTTGTTTTGATAATAGCCATCCTACCTGGTGTGTGGTTTTGATTTTCATGTACTTAATAATTACAGATCATAAGCACCTATATCTCTGTTGGCCACATTTTGTTTTGCCTATTTTGGAGAAATGTCTATTTAGCTTATTATCCATTTTTTAAAATCAGTTATTTGTTTTTCTTCTAGTGAGTTGTATAAATTTCCTATATATTTTGGGTATTAACCCCTTATCAGATGTATGGTTTGCAAATATTTTCTCTCACTTGAAGGAGGTAGTTTTGTTGTTTTTGTTGTTTTGTTTCTGCTGTTTAGATATGTTCTTATGGTACTGGGGATTAAACCCAGGGGCATTCTACTACTGAGCTACACCCCAGCCCTTTTTCGTCTTTATTTTGAGATAGGGCTCTCTAAATTGCTGAGACTGGCCTCAAACTTGGACTCCTCCAGCCTCCACATCCTGACCACCACACCAGCTTCCCATCTCGTATGCTGTCTTTCCATTTTGTTGATTGTCTCATTTGCTGTGCAGTAGATTTTTGGTTTGATGTAGTCCCACTTCTCTATTTTGTCTTTCATTGCCTCTGCTTTTTGTTGTCATATTAAAAAAATCACAGCCAAGACCACAGTATTTCTGTGTTGTTGTTTTTTTTTCTGGATAGTTTCTATTGATATGTCTTTAAATTAGCTATCTGCGATGTCTAATCGGTTGTTATTTCCCTCCTGTGTATCATTTTAATCTCAGATATTGTAATTTTCATCCCTAAAATTTCAACTGGATATTTCATATCTCCCATGTCTCTATTTAAATTTTTGGATGTATGAATATAGTTATAATAATATCATTACCAGCTAACTCTAAAATCTCTGTTAGAATTTTGGGTATGTTTCAATTTATTGATTTTTTTCTTCATTATAGGCCATATTTTACAGCTTCTTTGCATTTTTAGTAATTTTAATTAGATATGAGATATGAATTTCATGTTTTTGGTGCTGCATTTGTTTTTGTTCCTACAAATACACTAAGCTTCATTCTGGGATGCAGTTTAGTTACTTGGAAACAGGTTGATCCTTTCCCCATCTTGCTTTTTGCTTTTTTAGGTAGCATCAAAACAGTGCTTAATCTAGACCTAATTATTTCTTACTCCCGAGGCAAGATCCCTCTGTGTACTCCTCTTGCCACTCAAATATACTAGGCTTGCCATTTGTCAGTAGACAATTTTGACAACTTATATTCCAGACAAAGTTATGGTTTCCTTAATATATAAAGAATTCCTACCAAAAAAAAATCCAATTTATACCAACAAAAGATATAGTTCGCATGGGAGAAATAAATAAAAATCTCTTAAAATGTGAGCACTTTCATAGGGAAAATGCAAATAGAAGTATACTCTAATAATATTTTTACATATCAAATAGGCAAAGATAAAAAAGTGCAATAAGGTGTACACTCTGTAGTTAATGGCACAGGAAATAGGCACTCATATATTGATGATGGGAATGTAGATTAAAACAGTCTCTGTAGCCAGGTGTGGTGATACACACCTGTAATCCCAGCTACTTGGGAGGCTGAGGCAGGAGGATCACAACTTCCAGGTCGGCCTGGGCAACTTAGTAAGACTTTGTCTCCAAATAAAATTTTAAAAAAGGGCTGTGGATGTAACTCAGTGGTAGAGTACTTGCCTAGCATATGCAAGGTCTTGGGTTTAATTTCCCAATACCAAACAAACAAACAAACATAAAACACCTCTGTAGAGAGAAATTAGGCAATACCTTTCAGTATTAAAATTGTTCATTCCTTTGCTTTAGTAATTTTACTCCCATTTAAGTATGGGACAGATATACTTATCATATGTGGGAAATTATATGTTTGTATAAGGAAATTCATTACAGCATTATTTATAATTGCAAAACATTGAAAACAATCTAAATCCCTTTTAGTACGCTGGTTAAACATTGCACTGGTATTAGTGAGTGGAATTGGAGAGTAAAATATGAATTCACATATACATGACTATCTCTGGAAAGACACAGGAACTGGTAAGTGGTTGCCTCAGGTGGGAATTGATGGGTCAGAGGATAAGGGAAGAAATAAAATATAACTTTTCCAGGAACCTTTTTAAACCTGTCAGAACATTTTCTATATTACCTATTTTAAAAATCAATTAAATGTTATTAAAAATAAACAAAGTTTCAGACACTTCATATTTATTACGAAAAAAAAAAAGACCAAGAACTAGGACAATGATTTCCCAAAACAATATTTCCAGTTTTTACAGAGACTAGAGATCAGAGTACAAAAGCCCACCCTATCTGCCAGCACATGTGTCTGTCTTCCTACAATTTCCAACAACATTCTGATCCTGGGAAAAGAGGGATACTTATTTTATCATTCCAACATAATAATTTTCAAAAGGGACTCCCCTTTTCAACACATGTGCCTTTCTGAATCTACATTTCTATATGTTATACTATCATTTCTCTTATAATTTCCATAGTATTTATCCTAACATTCATTCATTGTTTTACCTTGTATCTCATCTGTGTTCAGTCATTGATTCTATATGTTAAGAACATGTATTAAATCCATAGCTGAGAAATAATGTTGGTGAATTAAATATAATGTGTTTATATTTCCTCAGAAAAAATTCACAAAAATAAAGAGTTTTTTTAAAAATGTGGAAACATATGCCAAAAAGATAATGAGAGTAGAGACAACCACATATATATTTTAGAGGATGGAAAACATATAGATATATAGTATCTTATTTAACAATCTGGAAAATTGAATCCCTAATCAGTGACAGAAAGGCTAAGAAACAATCTGATTAATACTGAAGAATACCCCTTAAAATTAAAAATTTGTAGTGCCAGTTTTCTGTTGGATGTAAAAGCAAGGTAGACTAAAAAGTGGATGATTAGTTGAAAACTTTTAAGTACAGTTAAAACTATACACTACTTAACAGGGATAAAATAAAATACAGATAACAACATGTATTGACAAGGATATACATTATATGTATATTAATATTTTTAATACTGCTGATTGGAGAGAAAAGCTGATCTAGCATCATTTATTCAGTCAGCAGCACAGCCCAGGACCTACCTTCAACCCCTACATGGAGCAAAATATAGAATCCTATTGCTCAAGGAATTTTCTGGATTATTGTACACATGTTATTTAAACTTTTTAAAATCGGAATTATTGCCCTTATTTACAGAGGAGGAAATTCACGTTTACAAGGGTAGCTTGCCCAAAGGTATATAACGCTCTTTTAACTGGGGCTAGAAATTAGGTTTGTCCCATCCTCATCTGTGCAGTGGGTGATCTGTTTTGTTGTTTTTCTTGACTTCTTCATCTTCAAACAGAAGCCTTTAGTTAGTTGCTTAATTAATGTTTATTTTGTGTTTTATAGCTCACTTCAACCTCAGATGCATCTCAAGAGGATCTGGTGGAGGAAAAGTGCTTACTGAAAAAATACACACATCGCTCCTGCAATAAAGTTTTCTGCCAACCATGGCAGAAGTGCATTGATGGGATCTGTGCTTGTAAACTCCCTTACCAATGCCCAAAGAATGGCACCTCCGTGTGTTCGACTAATGGGAAAAGCTACCCGACTTACTGTCATCAAAAGAGTTTTGAATGTCTCCATCCAGCGGCAAAGTTTTTAAATAATGGGACATGCAGAGCTGAAGGTTGGAAAAGCCTAGTTGTCAAGTTATTCTGTGATATGAAGGCAACTGTATACCCTTCTTTTTATTAGAAAACACTTTCCTGTGAAATATTATGACAACTCAAAATTTTCTAGACCTTCCATAGTAATTGAGGTGACTAATTCAATAGTAGCTGAGCTGCACAGTACTTTAGAGTCATCCCCATTCTTGCTTCTACTTGGTTAAAGGGATTATTCCCAGGGCGGTCCAGTTGGTTCAGAACCCAGTGCAAAACTGACATGTAATCTAGTCAGTCCTCAGCTCCTCCTTTGGACCTTCAGCCTCAATAATTTCTTCTAATATCTGACCCCCAACCCTATCCAGAATCCTGATTTTCCAAGGGAGCTTGAGACACGACTGACAAACTTGACAGGTCTACACTCCATCAGGGGCCTAGTGCAATGAGGAGCCTGGACCCCACCATATACACTTGGAGGAGTGTTGAAGATTAGGGATCTCAATGCAGGTGCAGGTGCAGCAGCTCACACTTGTATCCCAGTGATTCGGAGATAAGAAGATCATTAAGTTCAAGGCCAGCCTTGACAACTTAGTAAGACTCTGCCTCAAAATAAAAATAAAAAGGGCTGAGAATGCAACTAAGTGGTAGAGTACCCCTGAGTTCAGTCCCCGTTTCCCTGGGGGGCCGGGGATTAAATAAAGAAAAAAGATTAGGGATCTCACAGTTAATCAGGTTGAGTTTCAAATTCCTCCAAGCCCCACCTCAGTTACTGACAAGCTGTGTGATCTCTCTGGACCCCAGTTCCCTCACTTGTAAAATGTGAATAACAGAAGTTCCTAAGTCACAAGACTTGTGGAAATTAAATAAAATGATGCATGTAAAGCTAACTCTTCAGACAGTGCTTGGTACATAAAGTGCTCATTAAATTTTAACTATAACAACAAAACTGAGGCTCATTTCCTTCTGATATCAAGTTATTACTGATACTTCTGAACTTACAAAGGAATTTTAAAATGTTCTTCTTTTTATTTTAAGAGACAGGGTTTCTCTATATTGCCCAGGCTGGCCTTGAACTCTGGGTCTCAAGCAATCCTCCTGCCTCAGCTCCCAATAGGTGACAACAAGTGCATCCACTGCACTGGGCAAAACATTATTTTCAAAGGCACTGTGGTGTGCACCAGCTCACAGTGGCCTATATAATTTTATGGTGCTGAGTTAAGATAGTAAAGTCCTCTGGAAAAGGAGGAAAATATTCCCTGCTTGAGCCCATTTCTATTATCCATTGGAGAGGAAGATGGCAAATAGTCAACCATATTTTATCAGTGTCAGATTTTCTTCTCTTGAGGTATTAAATGCTTTAAGTATTTTGAGAATACATAAACCTTTTCTTTACTTTCATTAATTGTCTTCTAAGAGTGTGGACTTCAGAGTAAGAATAGAGCAATTTCTGTGGTATAGCCAATAGCTTTCTCTTAGATTTAGGTTCCTCATATAGAAAAATGGGGATAAATATGGGCTTAATCTTGTGTGTGTGTGTGTGTGTGTGTGCGCGTGTGCGTGTGCGTGTGTGTGTGTGTGTGTATGTGTGATGCTAGGATACTAGAGATTGAACCCAGAGTCACTTTATCACTAAGCTACATTCACAGCCCTTTTTTTATTTTTTATTTTGAGACAAGGACTTATTAAGGTGTCTAGGCTGGCCTTAAACTTGCAATCCTCCCACCTCAGTGCCCAGAATAGCAGGGTTTCCAGGTGTGGAATGAAACCCACACTTGGCTGGGCTTCTTCTTTATAGGGCCAATGTGATGATTTAATGATCTTCTGTATAAATGGGTAGTGCAAGCACTGACACATAATAAGCACTCATAAAATCATTGCTGATTATTTATTAAAATCTTCATGGTGTCCAAAGTCAATTTGAAATTAGGTATTTTAATATTGTAAAGGCTCTTTTTCATTGAAAGAGAAAAAGTGGAAGCTTAAATATTGCTCATCCTTTTGGGTTTTTTTATTATAGGAAAATTTAGTATTTCCTTAAATTATGGAAGTACAGATTCAAGGGGAATTGTTGAAGTAAAGCTAGTAGACCAAGATGAGAAAATGTTCCTATGTAAAAGCAGCTGGGGCTTAAGAGAAGCCAACGTGGCCTGCCTTGACCTTGGATTTCAGCAGTGAGTATTAGTAGATTTTTCTCAGGGCTGATTTGATTGTTCCAACTATTTGCTTTTTGATGACCTAATCTTTCTGTGCTGTAGTTTCCTTATTTGTAACCTGAGAAGATTAACTACCCACCTCACTGTATTGTGGTGAAGATTAAATGTGCTCACATTTGCCTAGCACTTGGCATCCTGCTGTGAGCACAGAGCACCTTTAGACCTACTTACCTGGATTGAACCCTTGGTGAATTTCACAGTCATTACTGCCTAATCTCTGCTCATGTAGAATTATGACCACTTTTTCTCATCCAATATTGTTCAGGTCTTTTCTCTTTCTTCTTTGATCAACTGTCTGTTTGGTCCTTTTGTAAATGGTCTCTCATTTCCTTATTGTCAACTTCATCAATCTTTGCTGTTATCTTTTTTTTTAAGTATTTATTTTTTAGTTGTAGTTGGACACAATACCTTTATTTTATTTATTTTATATGTGGTGCTGAGGATCAAACCCAGGGCCTCGCCTGTGCTAGGCGAGCACTCTACCGCTGAGCCATAACCCCAGCCCCCTTTGCTGTTATCTTTGACTTTTGTCCCCTTTATGTTTTTTCTAATTTCTTGAGCTGAATACTTAATTCGATCATTTGTTTTCTTGCTTTCCTCATGTAAACATTTAAGGTACAAATGTATCTCTTAGGTAATGTTTTATCTGTATGCCATAAGCTTTCATAAGTGATATTTATTATTCAGTTCAAAGGAAGTTCAATATATTTTCTTTTTTGACCCATATTCTTTTTTTTAACTTTCCAAATATTCATATTAATTTGCTTTTAGTTAAGTTTTTGTTCTTGATTTCCTATTAAATATTGCATTGTGGTCAGAGAACATCCCTGTATGATGATAATCTTATGCCAACATTTATTTTATTTATTTTTTTATTTTTTAGTTGTAATTGGACACAACGCCTTTATTTTGTTTATTTATTTTTATATGGTGCTGAGAATCGAACCCAGAGCCCTGCACGTGCTCAGCGAGCACTCTACCACTGAGCTATAAACCCCAGCCCCTCAACATTTTTTAAAAATCTTCCACCTTGCCTCTTGTACTTGGTTTGTAAATTATGCAATCTATTTTTATTTCTTCAGTGGTTAGCTTTGAATTTATACCATAAATCCTTGACTTAGGAATTCCTTACCTTCTTGGAAACCCCAATAAATTGCCAATATTTAATTCCACCTTATTTTTATATGCATCTGAAGTTAATCACCATCATTATATACTAAGAAATTATTATTATTGTTGCGTAGTTGATGCTCACTCAGATTTACTTCAAGTTTATACCAATTTTTAGGTTTGTTCCATCTTATATCTCACATTTCATTCTGGACTCATTTTTTTTCTTCCTAAACTACACTTGCTAGTTCATTATGGAGAGTCTCTTATTATAAATTGAACCATGGGATACTGCAGATTTGCAACACCAACATGCATTTTACCTACATATGTGGGTCAACCTAATGGTAAACTCTCTCAGCTTTGATTCCTCAGTATTTTGTTTTTCTCATGTTTTGTATAAGTTCATGGATAGACTTCTCTGATTTAAGCTAAGGGAGATTTCCCATACTTCCTTAAGAGCTCATTGAGAGCATTTATTATACTTTTGTAGTATTTTTAGATGTTCTTAGGTTGTGAGGTTTTTGAGGCTTTTCAGATTATTTGCTTATCAAAGTGTTTGAAATGACTCTTGTTGTCATGGAGCAATTTCATGACTACTATTATCATTAGGGATCTGAAATAATTAAAATAATCCTCCTTGTTCACTGTGCCTTTCACTCTAATTAGTCTGATGTTTAAACTGCCATTTCTGTTTTATTTTTTATTCCATTTGTCTACTGCATCTTGGCTCACCTTTTAAATTTGAACCTAGTTTCCTCGTTCATTTCTAAAGAGAAGCAAGGAGCAACTGAATGTCTGGAAGAAGAGTTCACTGTAAATCATCTCTAGGATGTTGGGTAACTTAGGCGGCTTCTTCTCTGCATACATTCTGAACAAATTCAGACATCCCAGCACTGGTATATAGGTGACAGAATACCACCATAATACTGCTGAGGCTGAATTGAGATGTAGCTTAATGTAAAAGCAAATGAATCTGCTAGAATTAAACCAACTTAATTTCCAAATCTTAAGCAGTAAGGGAACCAACCAGGTAAGCCTTGCATAATGTGGCAAGCAAAGAAACTCCCAAAAGGAACAGGTGAAAAGCTGAGCTAACCAGGCCTGATTATATTTCTAAAATCCTCCAATCAGAGTAATCTACTTCCTTTCCCACAGAGAAAAATCAAACAAAAGAGAGAGTCTGGGAACAATGCATCTCAAATTGAAAGGAAACATCAGGAGTATTTCTTCCTTTATAAGAAACAGGGAAGAGGAGGCCAATGTTTGCTGAGTGCTTGTCATGTTTTGAACCCTAGCTAATCCGTTTAAATTGATAGTTTAGTTAATTTTTGTAAGACTCGCTGAGGCAGTCATATTCCCTTTCATAGGTAAAGATATTGAGGCTCAGAGAATTTAAGTGTCTTGCCCAGTCTGTAACTCATATGTTAAAAATGAGAGGAAATTACCCTAGGCCCTTATTTCCTAGTATAAGACTATATATAAACATACTAATTGTTCTACCATCGTGTTTTATTTATTCTACTTGCAGAGGTGCTTTAAGTATTGAAGAAAGGTTTTATATTCCTGAATATCTCCACATAAACTCCACTGAATGTCTGCATGTCCATTGTCATGGATTAGAGACCAGTTTGACCGAATGTACTTTTGCCAAAAGGAAAACCAAGCGTTACGAGGGACTTGCTGGCGTGGTGTGTTACACACAGAATTCAGGTTGGTGGAGTACTTGCCTGATACTTTACAACTTCCTTCAAGATTGTTCATACCGTGCCTAAATAAATAAGTCAATGATTGATACCAGTCATTGAGGCAAATTATATGGACCGTATCATGTTTGGGGAGAGCCTAAATTGGTGATTTTCTCCTGTCATTCCTTATTCCTGTCAAATATTACTTGCCTCCACCTTCCTATATGGGAAGAAAATTGCCAGACACCTCTTTGTTTCCTTGAACGTGTGGATTAAAGTTATGATAGCAATACAAGTCAGTCAAGCAAGAGAGAAAAACAAAATCTCCTTCAAGAATTCCAGCCTACCCATCATTATGTACAACTATAATGTACCAATAAAACTATGGAAAGAGAAAAAAATAATTCTGGCTTATATACATTCCTTTAAGATGTTTAAGTGACCATATCACTACCTCAGTTTCCAGACAGTCATTGATGCTTTGCTCCTCCATCCTGACATTGGTATATTTTGGCCATTTATGGTATTAAAAACCAAAGCTGTATCCTTTTCAGTGCTAAATAAATAAATATATATATAAATACATATATTATATAAATAAATAATAATACTAAATTTATTTTTATATATTTATATAAATATAAATATCCTTCCTCAATAGGACTCTTGAAGTTCAGGAAATAATACCAAGAATTAACATATGGGATGGCATCAAATTAAAAAGCTTCTTCACAGCAAAGAAAACAATTAGGAACATGGAGAACCTACAGAGTGGGAGAATTCTACTACAGAATGTCAGCTACACCTCTGACAGGAGATTAATATTTAGAATATATAAAGAACCCCAAAACCAGGGCCGAGGTTGTGGCTCAGTGGTGGAGCAGTTGCCTACAGTGTGTAGGGCACTGGGTTCCATCCTTGACACCACATAAAATAAATAGATGGAGTGAAGGTGTGGTGTCCATCTACAACTAAAAAAAAAAAAATTAAAAACCTTACCACCAAGAAATCAAATAACCTAATCAATAAATGGGTAAATGAACCAGACATTTCTCAAAAAGAGAAATACAAATGACCAATAAATATATGAAAAAAATGTTCTACATCTTTAGCATTCAAGGAAATGCAAATTAAAACTACACTTAGATTTCATCTCACTCCAGTTAGAATAGCAGTTAAAATACAAGGATGTGGGAGAAAATACTTTCACTCCATTGGTGGGGTTGTGAGTTAGCATAACCACTATGGAAATTCATATGGAGATTCCTCAAAAGACTGGAAATGGAACCACTATATGTTCCAGCTATAACACTCCTCAGTATTTATCCAAAAGAATTGAAGTCATCATACTACAGTGATACATGCATACCCATGTTTATAGCAGATCAATTCACAATAGCCAAACTATGGAACCAGCCTAGATGTCTGTCAACAGATCAATGGATAAATAAACTGTGATATACACACACAATGGAATTTTATTCAGCCATTAGGAAGAATGAAATTATGTCATTTGCAGAAAATAGATGCAACCTGATAGCATCGTGTTAAATGAAATAATCCAGAATTAGAAAGCCAAGGGTTGTATGTTTTGTCATATGTGGGAAGCTCAAGAAGAAAAAAAAAAAAAGAAAGGTGGGGGCCATGAAAATAGGAGGGAAGTCAGTAGAGCAGAAGAAGAGGACTGGGGAAGGTGGAGGGATGGGAAACAGGAGATACTGAGGAATTAAATTGACCCCAAATTAAGTTGTGTACATGTACAAATATGTAACAATGGTGTCCAAAATTATGTACTGTTATAAGGCACCAATAAAAAATGAGCTAAAAAATGTAAATGGCACTGCCCATGTGTCCTGGGAGTGGAGGTGGGTTAGTGTAGTAGCAGGAGAGAAATGCAGGAGCACTAGCACTTGCCATTTCAGCTAGTGCTCCTACTCCTGAACACCCATCTCAAGACTACAGACTTCCACAGTCAACACTGGTTTTCAGAAAGGGCCACTATAAGCCAGCTTTGGCATTTATTTTCCTTATTGGTCATGTATACTAAGTTGATATTACTAATACATTTTATATTTTAAAATGTATTTTTTGAGGTCTGATTTTCTTTTTTGAGGTCTGATTTATCTTAACAACTCCATATCCTAAAAAAAGAGATGAGGATGTTATGCCACAACTCCATAACTAAATTTCACAAAAATGAAATTTACAGATTCTTCAACAGATGAGTCCTTTCAGTGTGTGAATGGGAAATACATTCCTCGGCAGAAAGCCTGCAACGGTATTAATGACTGCGGTGATCAAAGCGATGAGCTGTGCTGTAAAGGTAGACATAAATCTAGCTTTTAAATACTCTGATTCATTCTTCTGGCTAAAAAGGTAAAAACAATTTTATTGTTGAATTGATAAGTTGAACTCATTCATTTTATTTTTTTTTCATTTTTCTACATTTGTACTAGGGATCAAAACCAGGGGCACTTTACCACCGAGCTACATCCCAGCCCTTTTTATTTTGTATTTTGAGACCGGGTCTCACTAAATTGCTAAGCTTGGCTTCCAACTTGTAATCCTCCTGCCTCAGCCTCCTGAGTTGCTGGGATTATATAGGCATGCACAACCTCATCCAATTTTAAGAAATGAAGGAACCTCTCCAACTTGTGTTTGTATAGGGTGCCGTGGTGACAGTTTCTTTTGTAAGTCGGGTGTTTGCATTCCAAACAAGTATAAATGCAACGGTGAGTTGGACTGCATTACAGGAGAAGATGAAGTCGGTTGTGAAGGTAATTTAGTTTTGTGATAACTTTTCTTTCATTACGGAATCCACAGATTCTGAAATTCTTTTTTGGTAACATGTTAACATTACTAAACAGTAAGAACATTAACTATTAATATTAACATATTAATAGTACATCAACATATTAATTAACATATCAATTAGCATAATATAATAATTAACACATTAATAACATAATGGTAATGATATTATATTAATTAATTAATAATATTATATTATATAATAGTGACAATATTAGTATGATTAATTAATAATATCATAGTAATAATTAATGTGTTAATTAACATATTAATAGTACATAATTAATAAAAATAAGAACATTACTGAATGAGCATTTGAAGATCTACCTCATATTTTTACCTAGTAAATATCTACTTGTCATTTCAGAATATTTTATTATTAAAAAAAAAAATCTCACATACACAATAAGGATGGTCTTAAAATGGCTCCCTATGGATGCATCTTTCAGCTGCAACACTGATAGTTTGAAGTCTTATTCATCTGTCTTCCAGCTTTTTGTTTGTTTGAAGTATTTTAAAGTAAATTTCAGATATCATCTCATTTCACCTATTTGCATATCTAATAATGAAAACACTATGTATATTAAACCATTCTCTCATTAGTATACCTAAAAATAATGGTTCCCTATCATTTAATAACCTCCATGATTCTCTATCAATATTTAATAACTGCCATATTCAAATTTTCCTACCTCAAAAAATGTCTTTTTCAAATTAATGTGTTCAAATCAGGATCCAAAAGAACACGAATGTTGCATTTGTTTTTGACCTTTTCAAGCGATAACTTTAAGGTCTGCTTTATTCTTTAAGCCACCTATCCCATCTCCTCTCCCAATTTTTTTCTATACTATTGATTTTTTTTTTTTAAGAAGAGCTGGTCATTTGTTTATGGGATAGTCCTTATTCTGGACTTACAGAGACTTGGTTAGATGCAGGATTTAATATTTTAGGCAAAAATTCTTAATGGCTTTTGTCTTCTTGTATATCTTCTAGTAATGCTAAGATCAATCCCTGGATAAGTTTGATGTCTCCATTAAAATGTTCCTCCATAATCTTTCACCTAATGATTTTATCATACTTAGTAATTGTTGCCTACATACACTTTATCAGTAAGGGCTATAAAATTCCAATTTCTAATTTTAACATTCTTCCTATACTTATTTACTGAGATTATACAAGAAAAAAATTTCCTTCATCAACCATTTTATTTTCGTAAAATGTAAAACTCATAGAAGAAAAGCAGGATGATTTTTTTATTTCTTTTTTTCCCCACAGTTTTTATTGGACCATTGTAGTTGTACATAATGATGGGATCTGTTGTTATGAATTTGTACATGTACACAATATAACAGTATAATTTGGCCAATATCCCTCCCCAGCACTCCCCCCTCCCTCCCAACCTCCCACTTCTGTCCCTTTCTTCTCTTGATCTCCTTTTGAGTTTCATGAGATAAGCCCTCACCTTTCTTTTCCTTTTCCCTCTTAACCTTCCACCCATATATGAGAGAAAACATACACCCTTGACCTTCTGAGCTTGACTTATTTTGCTTAACATAATGGTCTCTAGTTCCCTCCATTTAAAAAAGCAGGATAATTCTTTTTTTCCTATTTTTTATTTGTTGTAATTAATTATACATAACAGTAGAATGCATTTTGATACATCATACATAAATGGAGTATAGCTTGTCATTCTTCTGGCTGTACCTGATGTAGGGTTACACTGGTCATATAATCATATATGTACATAGGTTAATAATGTTCAATTCATTCTTCTATCATTCCTACACCCATACCCCTTCCCCTACTTTCACTACCCTCTGTCTAATCCAAAGTACCTCTATTCTTCCCTACCCTCCACTTATTGGGAATTAACATCCACATATCAGAGAAATCATTTAGCCTTTGGTTCTTTGGGATTGGCTTATTTCAAAAAGCAGGATAATTCTTAAACCTCTCCCTTTATTTATCAAGTTTCAAAGTGATGAGTTTTGACAACGTCAGGACAAACTTAGGACAACCTCCAATGATAAAAATATCATATACTTGTTCTGTATGACACAGACTGACTTTTATTCTCTTCAATGCTTTCTGGAGGAAAAAAATCTCTTTAAGTGACTATATTCAATCACTTACTCAGTGACTATTAAGTTCCTACTCTGTGTACCAGGTCCTATTCTAGATATTAGGGTTACAATAGTGAATGACATTTTAAAAATACCTGCCCCTTTATGCATCTTACCTTCCAGTGGGTGAAGCAAGACAATAAAATAAGAGAATAAGTAAAATAAAAAAGTGCTAAGAAGAAAAGTAAAGCAAGGAAGGAGGGTAGAAACTATTGGGGGTAAGTTTTGAAATTTTAGGTAAGGTAGCCTGAGAAGGATTCACTGAAGTTACTGTTAGAAACCCATGTGGAGAGGGCTGAGGATATAGCTCAGTTGGTAGAGTGCTTGCCTCGCATGCACAAAGCCCCGGGTTTGAACCCCAGCACCAAAAAAAGAAAATCATGTGGAGGAAATTGTGGAGCAGCCTACAGAAGGATGTTCCAGGCACTGCAACACACAGGACAGTGTTTCCAAGCAGGAACTTTCCTAGTGTGCTTGAGGAATAAGCAGCAAGGTGGCTAGTGTGACAGATGGTACAGGTGATGGTAGGGAGACATTAAGAGAGATGCTCTAGGAGAGGTGGAGAGGTGGAGTAGAAGGTATTGAACCGACCAACTACGGCCTGTTAGAGTGGAACAAGGGCTTTGAACAGAATGAAATGATCTGACTAAATTTTAAATTAAGTTTACTCTGGCTTCTGGCTCTATAAGGAAAAGGGAAGAAATGGGGACCTCATTAGGAAATCATTGCAGAGAAGAGATGAGAGTGACCAGGACAGGAGGGTAGGAACAAAAATGATGAGAAGCAGTCAGATTAGGGATATATTTTAAAGGTTGAGCCAGTAGATTTGCCAGTTGATTGGATGAGGGTTCAAGGTAAATGAGCAGTGGAGGGTGGATGCACCCCATTTATGGAACTTATCCATGCTGTTAATGTTTAACAACTGGCTTCAGAGAAGGAGAGGGAGGGGGAAGGGGAGAGGGGGAGGGAAGAGGGGGAGGAGAGAGGGGGAAGAGAGAGGGGGAGGGAAGAGGGGGAGGAGAGAGGGGGAAGAGAGAGGGGGAGGGAAGAGGGGGAGGGAAGAGGGGGAGGAGAGAGGGGAGGGGGAGGAGAGAGGGGAGGGGGAGGGAGAGGGGAGCTTTGTTTCCCTCTCAGTGGTAGAGTGCCTAGTTTTATATAGCTTTTGCCAATTTCTGTGGTATAATTATTCCATCATGAGGGATTTCAAGCTATTGATATGGAACATGAGCCGGGAAACCCTGGCTGGGTACAATGAGTTCTTTAGACTGGTCCAAAGCAGCATCAGCACAACACTGAAGCACTTTCCACTGTTTCCTTCTCTCTCTCTCTCTCTCTCTCTCTCTCTCTTTCAACAGTAGACATCTTGAAAATAGAATCTATTTTTACATTGCAAATGTCCCAGAACAAGTGTCTTACACATAAAAATTAAGTAAATGTTGAAAATAATGTGTAAATAAATGAGTTGATATTAATTACATTTTCACATTATTTGGTATGCTAGTATGAGACTTACCGAGATTTTGTTTAGTTTTCCATTGAGATCAGCTCTTAAGTGAAAGAATATTCATGACACAGTGGCACATACTTGTAGTCCCAGCAACTGGGGAGGCTGAGGCAGAAGGAATGTAAGTTTGAGGCCAGCCTTGGCAATTTAGCAAGATCCTGCGTCAGAATAAAAAAATATATAAAAATAAATAAAGGGCTGGGGATGTAGCTCAGGGATAGAGTACCTAGGTTCAATCCCCAGTATTAAAAAAGGAAAGAAATATCCTTTTTAGGATTTCAAATCATATGATTTCTTTTAAAGGATATATAAGCAGTTGGGCAGAAGTGCCTTTATGTTGTTAAGTTCAGTTCAATCCTTAATAGAGAGAGGAAGAAAGAAAATTTTTTCAGGTAGGACAGTGAATCATGAGGCTCTACAGTGTCATCTCCCTTCTTTATTGTGAGAGTAGTTTGGGCTTTTTCTTTCTCTTCCTTCCCCTCCCCCTCCTTCAATTTAAAATGCTAAACTCTAAAGTCAAGGGACACAATTTGTTTACTGGGGGCGGGGTGGGGGGAGGAATCCTCCTGCAAGAAAGTAACTACAATATAAAGCTTATTGTCATATAAATTTCTTGAATCAATATCAAAACTACACTTAGTCAACTGTCATTGTTAATCCTTCAGTTTATCCTTTGGGATGAACTGTGCCTTTTGTAGTTCATTAGGGATCATAATGTTCCCCTCTAAGAAAGAGAAGTGAGAGCAGAGATATAAAATTAATATATACATAAACTTCCACTTCAAATGGCCAGGTCATAATCACTAAATCAAGGGAGATTTGGATTATATTTTGATTGCACTTATCTTTTAAAAGCCCCTCTTTTATTAATATGTTAAAACAATTACAAATTTTATATTAAATGGTAAGTTTGCTGTTGAGTATGTGTTCAAATGGATCTCAAATTCTAATCTCTTTTTAAAATTCAAGTTAAAATGATTTCCTTGCTGGGTGAAATTGGTGAGTGTTTAAATGCAAAATGAAAATTTTGTTATTCATTATTAAAATTAAAAGTAAGATGGCATACTGTCTGGCTTTTTTTCTTAATTTTTTATAACTAGGAATTATCAGTTGTTATCCTATTTCTGAAATAATGATTTGAGTATATTTTATTCAAATGAAACTGGTGTCTTTGCTATAGTGAGTTTTTTATTTTGCTTTTAAGAGCTGAACATCCTTCAACTCAAGGTAAATCTATTTTTATAATAGAAAATTTATATTACAGATGAATAATAAGTTGTTCCTTATACATGTTATAATATATAGAGAGATAGTTATATAATAATATGGTGTGGTTTTTTTCTCAATTAAAAATTATCCTTTGCTGTGGTAAATATTTTTTATTTTGCTTTTTGTTTTTCTTTAGGCTTCGTACCCAAGGCTCAAGGTAAAAAAAAAAAAAGTTTATTAAAATTTTGAGATACTAAAAAATTGAAATAAAACTAAGGATCTATTGTGTCATCAGTAATCCAACTTTAACATTAGGCTGGCACAGAGGTTTTGTTCGTTTAGTGTGATAAACTTTCAGTCTCATGGACTGCTCACCAGAAAACCATTCACAGTGGACTTTCCCTGCACATTTCTCCTTTGCCAAACACCTTTTTCTCTTACTCTAATTTTTTCTCAAAACCAAGGCAGTTCTGAAGAAATTGACACCAGAGAAGATTTAATATGTTCATTTACATAAGCAGATGTCCCCAAAGCCTCCAGCTCTTTGGGGCCACCCTTTTATTAAGTATTCAGATAAAATGACTCAAGCCCTCAGCCCACATAATGCCAAAAGTTCATGGTCCTCCTCAGAATTTCTTAGGATTCCTGGGAGACAAAGTAGCTCAAGATTACCCATTTCCCTCTCTATTCTCAATTAGTTCCTTCTATTACTTCTCACTTTTCATTTACTGGTTTTGAAGCTGTTGTTCTTTTTTTCCCCCTGATTCATTCCTTTCCTTCTTCCTCCCCATCCTCCTTTCTTTGCCACTTATCTTCCTAGTTTTGGACTTCAGTGGCAAAGGAATGAGTTGACAATACTCCTCAGTTCATTGAACATGATCATCATTGGTTCCAGCCAGGCCCTCTCTGGCTTTATCCCTGTTCCTTACTTCCATTCTCCTCCCTACATAGTCAAACATTTTAATGTAACTTAAAGTGTATGTCATTTTGTTTGTAGCATTCTTCTCTAATGTGCATTGTTATTGTGAGCATAACATCCTCCCCCCATTTTTTATTGGTGCATTATAGTTGTACATAATGATGGGATTTGTTGTTACATATTTGCACATGCACACAACATAACAATATAATTTGGCATGAGTATACATTTTTAACTCATATAACATTGTGTTATGGATCTCATATTTTTTCATTCATTCATTCATTCATTCATTCTTCCTTTCTTCTTGAAAGCATTACATTTTAGAGATCTTTCCATGATGCTATGTGTTCATTTAATCTCTTGCTCTTAAATCACTGCATAGAATACTCTGCCATGATATCAGTTTGTAAAATGTGTATAATGTTAGTAGGTGTTTTCTGCAAGGAACAATTGAGTTACCTTCTGTAAAATACTTCTTATGGTATATGGAATATGAATTTTTTAATTTGTTCAATTTGGGGCAAGAACATACTTAGATATGTAATAAGAATTGTCAAAATAACTGAAAAAATTCTCTGACATGTTCACCTTTTACAATCTATTACCCATTTGTCCATTAATTCATGGTGAGATTTGTTGAATAGAGATCCTTGGCTTTTATGTTACCAAAGATATAATTATTTTTCTTACATTTTTCCTTTTGAAGTTTTGTGCTGCTTTTCCAATACCCAGTATATCTCAGCTACACTGGACTTTCCCTGCCTTCCTCTTGAGTCTTTTATAATTCATAAGGGTGCTTTTATGAATGCTCCTGAGCAGAGCCTCTCTTTCCCCAGAAAACAATTTAGTTGTGTGGCATAACAAATATATGTATGCCTGACCCAAAGAGAATGTGGGAAATCTAGGGAAAAGAACTGGGATTGCTGCAGGAAAGTCACATAGCTTTCTTGGGCTATGCTGTCATGTCCTCATCCAAAGTGGAGTAATGTGTTAGATGGAATCTGCCTTCTGATCCTCAGGCCAAAGAAATAATAATCCTGTGCATGGAATGTTCTAGAATGGCAGAGTGAAGAGGGAAAAATCCTGAATAGCTTCAAGTAAAAGTCTAAGGAAGAAATGAATTTATTTTCCCCTTTTGACTTCTGCATTCCAGATGCCTAATGCTAGCAATACCTAGTATTAAAACCAATGAGATATATTTGTGTACATTTCCCCTGTAAGAAGTGCCTTCTTGCCAGTCATGGTGGCTCACACCTATAATCCCAGCAGCTTGGGGGGCTGAGGCAGAAGAATCTCGAGTTCAAAGCCAGCCTCAGCAGTTTAGCAAGGCCCTAAGCAACTCAGCTAAACCCTATCTCTAAATAAAATATTAAATAAAAGGACTGGGGATGTGATTCAGTGGTTAAGTGCCCCTGGGTTCAATCTCTGTTACCAAAAAAAAAAAAAAAAGCACCTTATTATGCACAAAAAGAGAAGAATCTTTCTACACAGTCCTTTTTTTAAGGGAGGACAAATTTTAAGATAAAATTATTATAAAAGTTTAAATGATTTTAATGATCTGATTTTCTCTATAAAAATAACTTCAAACAAAAATAACTTTAAGACAAAATTTTTGTCTTATCATAGATGAAATAGAAATTTTGACTGCAGATATGAATGCTGGTAAGTTAACATTATATTTTTTTTTACTGGTGGTACAGTGGTTTACGCTTGCATTTAATGTCAGTTATTAGCTAGATAATCTTAGGTGAGATACTGAACCTCAAATACAATTGGGAATAATAAAATAGTCCCCTGTTTTACGGAGATTTAAAAATGAAATTCATGTAAGACTCAACTTCAAATTGCCAGGCACCAAAATTAATTAACAATATTTTAAACTAACCAATGAGTGAAAGACTTAGATCTCAAAGTCACAGATATCAATCTAGAGAGATTTTAAACAAAGCTCTTTATTTTCTACACATAGTAACATTAATTTTCAGATATTTCCCAACCTCACTTCACAGTCCTTAATGGATGAGGTCTCTCTTATTTCAAAAGTCCAAGCAAAAACTTAAGATTTTCACCATCACACTATACCCCCTACCTAGATTTTAGGATCGGTAGGACCAGGTCTAGGTTTGTGGCTCAGAGGTAGAGCACTTGCATGTGCAAGGCCTTAGGTTTGAGCTACAACTCTGCAAAAAAAAAAAAAGGTAAAACCAAAAAAAAACTATCCACATTCATTTACAACTTCTCTTCCTTGGGGGCCTATCTCCTCTTTGTATGCCCCAAATAATTAAGAGTTGGGGGCTGGGTTTGTGTCTCAGTGGTAGGGCACTCACCTAGTATGCATGGGGCACTGGGTTCGATCCTTAGCACCACATAAAAATAAAATAAAGGTATTTTGTCCACCTACAACTAATATATATATGTATATATATATATATATATATATTTTTTTTTTTTAATTTTGTTTTTTGTGAGGATACCAGGTATTGAACTCAGAGACACTCAACCACTGAGCCACATCCCAGCCCTATTTTGTATTTTATTAGAGACAGGGTCTCACTGAGTTGCTTAGTGCCTTGCCATTGCAAAGGCTGGCTTTGAACTCAGGAGCCCTCCTGCCTCAGCCTACTGAGCCATTGGGATGAGAGGCATGTGCCATGGCGCCTGGCTTAAAAAAATTTAAAAGAGTTTCCTTTCTCATTTGAGGCTAAGAAACAAGTTTACAAAAATTTCACAACATGGTAAATAGAATAAAGAGAGCATCTTTTACTTTCTTCCTTTGTCATGATTCTCTTGTAAGCTCATGTCTTAAGCCTTGCTTTACCATGTTTCTTTCCTCAGTGACACGTGTGGTGTGTCTAATTGCTCACAGAGAGATTAGGGAAACATTGTCCAGCGCCAGATGTGGCCTGCTGTCCAGGGTTCCCCCAGCATATTATCTTTTAGGGTTAACATAATGAGATAAACTATATACAAAGTGCTCAGTATTGGGCCTGGCATCTACAAAGCATTCAATACTAATATCACGATGTTAACATTATATTATCGAAAAGAGTTCTGTATCATCAGCCTCTAGAAACCAAAAGCCACGAGAGTTAAGATGCAGTTCTCCATATTGTCAGCTTATTCTGATAATTTCAGAACATGACCCCCTCCCAAGCTATCACTCTAGTAATGCCTGAACAAGTGGCATCTCTCATCTGCCAGAGCCTGGTATATGTTTAACACCTTGCCGGCTTCTTTCTACTAAACCTTTAGGGAGAACTTCATAGAACTAAGCCAATTCTAGCTTTTAATATTAAGCTAGAATTTTAAAACAAAGTGAACAGTACAATTTAACATCCAAAATAATTTACTAATGAATCTGGAGTGTTTCTTATTAGATGTGACCTTTCTACTTTTGTGACAGAGACAATAAAGGTAATATCAATCAATATGTCCACAAGGTAATAGATTCAAAATCATAATGATATAATCTCTTCCTTTCTTGAAGAAAGAAAACGGATAAAGTCATTATTACCTAAACTATCCTGTGGAGTCAAAAGAAACATACACACGAGAAGGAAACGAGTGGTTGGAGGAAGGCTAGCAAGAATGGTAAATCTGCAAGAAAAGTTTACTTCCCAGGAACAGCCTGGGGGGAGGGATGGGGAGGGATGTGATTACCACGGACTGGGAATCCTCCAATGGAAATACAGTAAGACAGGACCACCTGTTTGCACCACTGTCTGGTAGAATGGCAGTGACCACACAAATGTCTTTTACAGGGAGACTTCCCATGGCAAGTGGCGATTAAAGAAGGCAAAAAAATCAACTGTGGGGGAATTTATATTGGTGGCTGTTGGATTCTGACGGCTGCACATTGTGTCAGGTAAAACAAAGGTCTTCAATATGTTTTCGATTTCTTGAAACAATGAAAATGAGTAATAGAGATGGTGGTAGATGATAAATAAAAGTATATCAGAGAAATCATTAAGTTTCCTCTATTAACTGTTAAGTGCTTTTTGGTATTTGTGATCAGTACCTTAGAGGTCCATCCCTCAGAACTCACTGTGTTCTCCCCAGATCAAATTGCTGATCCCACTGGCAAGGACAAATCAAGCCATTAGGTACAAAATTACTTTCACTTGGCTTATTTGCATGGTGCTGGGTCCAAATCTCTTAGAAGAGTTTATGACTGAAAGTTTATAAAGGGGTAATACTAACAAGATGTCTTCTCTAGTCTCACCTCAACAAAGATGTTTAAAGAACTGACTTGACTCCTACCAACATACAACATGTGTGAATCCATGTATCCTTAAATATATTTGATGTGTGTTCCTGGCAATAAAGGAACTGTTCGAAGCTCAATGCTAATTATCTCACATACTGCTCCAGCACCAGCTCGCTTGCTCTGTGAGTCTGGATAACTTGTTTACATGGGTCCATGACTCAAAGTTATTTTCGAGGCAAGGCCACTGCACTACTTCACACAGGGGCACCACTCACATCACATTTTGTTGTTTGGAAGTTCCTTGAGCTGCAGCAGATTCTGGCGGATGCATTCTGAGTCACTGAAGACCAGAGAGATTGGAGGAGACTTGCTTTCTGAAGAATAAGTAATATTATTTCTCCCTTTGACAGTGTTTTAAAATTCTCAGGTTAGAGAATTAGGGTGGGCATTATGTGAATTCAGAACTGGCATGTGACAACATGTCTCATAACTACTTACAAATGGGAAACACCAGTTGATGCAGGCCCAAGAAAGCAAGTTTGCCAATGCTGCTGTAACAAAATAACATGAAGTGTCTTCAGAAACAGAAATTTCTTTTCTCACAGTTCTGGGGGCTAGAAGTCTAAAATCCATGTGCCAGCAGGGCTGGTGTCTCCTGAGACCTCTGTCCTTAGCTTGCAGGTGCCCTCTTCTCATTGTGTCTTTATGTGGTCTTTCCTGTGTGCATTTACATCCCTGGTATGTCTCTGTCTTTTTATAAAGATACCAGTCTTATCGGAGTAAGACCCCAGCCTTATGACTTCATTTAACTTAACTTACCTCTTCAAAGACCCTATCTCCAAATAACAGTCATTAGTCCTTAGGACCTCAACATATGAGACAGATACAGTTTAGTCTATAATAATGACTGGATTGCAATACCCAAGAGGTATTGATTAATAAATAAATCAATGTCAACTTGGAGAAGGGCAGAGCTCAGGGTTCTTGCCTCAGTTCTGATAGAATGAATAAAATGTTATTTATTGAGCACCTCTTACAGACCAGGTACGAAGTCAGGTCCTTTCATATATTTATCTTTTTTAGTATTCTCAACAGTCCCAAAAAGTACATATTATTCTTCTCATTTTATAGATACGTGGACCAAGATTGAGAAGTTATGTAGTTGCCTAAAGCTACATGACTAGTCAGTTAGCAAAGCCAGGATAATATCAAGTTCAACATGTTGACAGTAACTTAGATGAATGCCTGCTTAGCAAATCCTTAGGTGACCTAAAGTTGGAAGGGGTAACATACATGCTGAATGATTAAACATGCTCAAGGAAAGACCTCATAAAAATCTTCATGGATTGGAGCAAATCTTCTATCTTCCTTCTTAAAGACCCTTTCCTCTTGGCGTCTGGGACACAGCACTCTCCTGGGTTTTTTAGCAGCTTCTCTGACCACACCTTCTCTGCTGTCTTCAGCAGTTGCTCCTTCTGTGCTTAAGCATCATTACTCAACTGAAGCACTGAAGTTTCATTTAGCCTGATTTCCTCTCTTCTTCTTCCTAAAGTTATCTACAGTTTAAAATAGCACTCTATCCAGGTTCTGTGGCATACACCTGTAATTCCAGTAACTCAGGAGGCTGAGGCAGAAGGATTGCAAGTTTAAGGCCAGCCTGGGCAACATAGAGCAATCCTGTCTCAGTAAATAAATAAATAAATAAAATACCACTCTATACAGACTAAATGATAGCCATAGGTTGGGGCTCTCCTCCAACCACTGACCCTGTAGTCACCTGCCTAACCACACTTCTTAGATACATCAAAAGTATATCAAATTCAAAATGTCCAAGACTAGGCTCATGATGTGCCTTTTCCTAGTGTTTCCTGTCTCAGCAATCAGCACCATTTATCTGGTTACACAGGCAGACATCTTATTTCATTCCCTCAGCTATACACAGCCCAAGCACAATTTCACCAACTCTAGATGGTGTTTTAAATTTTTAATTATTTAATTCTCAAAACTTCTTTCCTTCTCCATGTTAACCTGCTTTCACCTCTCATTTGGATTATAGTGATTATAGTCTCCTCCTAATTGCCTTTCCTGCACTCATTCTGTCTACCCACCACCCCACCTGTCTGTTCTCTACTACGCACAGCAAGGGTAATATTTCCATACCTGGGTTCAGTCACCCACTACTTAAATTCAGTGACGTTGGTTTCCTCGTAGGGTAAAAATCTAAACAAATGACAACATGGCCCATTAGGCCCCAGGTGATTTGGCTGCTCTGTGCCTTTGCCAATCTCATATTGCCTGGCAGCACTACCTCCTGCTCTCTGGCCCACCTGCTCTGGACTTCCAGCACTTCAACAGCACTTGCTCCTTCCTACAAAGGGATCTTTGATATATCGTTTCCCTGATTTTCCTTGCTCTTTCTGCCCAGTTACTGCTAGTCTTTACTCAGATTTCAGGTCAACCTTTACTTCCTTGGAAAAACTTCCCTGACTCCCTTCTTCTTGGTAAGTTCCTAAAAGTCCATGTACTGTCTACTTCTCTCACTTTTCATAGTAGAGTGCCTAACTTTATCAGTGTGCTTATCCATTTAATGTTGCATCTTTCCCTAGATGCTGAGTTCCATGAAAGTAGAAATGATTCTGATTTGGTCCATTTCTACATAAAGTGCTTGGCACAGTGATGTTTATACAGTAGATACACCCTAAGTATTTTTTGAGTAAATTGAGTGAATAGACAGAGTTAGCCCTTAAGCAATATCCAGGACCTCTTATCCTATAATACAACCAAAATTAACATTGCGGACAGTCTTCTTAGAATACTAGTATAAATAAAAGTTTCCAAACATCTCAGTCTATCCTAGGACACCACTGCTTAACTGTAAGGTGATTACCTGAATCATCATTATAGAAGGATAAATTCTCTTCCATTTATGCTGTTTGAGAAAGTAGATGACATATGCATAATACATTTTTAGAAGATTTTCATTAAACTGTTTAAAATAAGTTTTGTTGCTTATGGGAAATTTATTTTATGAATTACTTATTTTATGGGAAACGTGAGACTATGAGGTCATTATTCAGCACCTTATTTTTAAAAAGTACACCTAAGCTATAATATTTTGCCAAAATGCTCTGTGCTCTTCCCTGAGAAAATAATGGTGGGGACCAATTTGCTTAGCTCATGCATGATATGAAAATTGGTAATGAAAATGGAGTGAAGTATAATAACAATAATTATTAATAATTAGCTTATTCACTATTGCAGGGCAATTTTTAAATAGCTACCATGTTCCAGGTACAATAATAGCCACCAGGGCTACAGTTCATCTCTGATTTCAAGCAACACAGTTAGCAGGAAGAAAGGCGGGTGAAGGGATAAATGCAATGCAATGTGAGGATGAAGTCATCTGCAGGGTGAGGATGGAAACTACTGCGGAGGTGCTCTCCCTGAGAACCTCTGGGTTGGCAGAGTAATAAGAATCTGCAGTCCAGTTTTCCAGTTCCTCAACCACAGTTCTGACAAGATGCTATCTAATCTCTGTTGAGACCCCTGTAGGGGCACCTACTCCAGTAGCAGATAGTTCAAGTTGTTAGTGAGCTATTTTCCTGGCATTGAGCAGTTGGATGGAATATTCTGCTCTTCATTTGTCATTGACCTAATTCTGCCCTAAGTAAATTTAGTCACAATGCTTCATAACAGCAAAGATATGAGAGAGAGAGAGAGAGAGAGAGAGAGAGAGAGAGAGAGAAGGAGGCAGAGAGAGATGAAGGGAGGGAGGGAGAGAGAGAGAGAGAGAGAGAGAGAGAATATGAATATATAAAAAAGGTCCTTAAGGGCTGGGGTTGTGGCTCAGTGGTAGACTGCTCGCCTTACCATGTGTGACCCCCTGGGTTTGATCCTCAGCACCACATAAAAAAATAAATAAATAAAATAAAAGGTATTGTATCTAACTACAACTAAAATTTTTTTTAAATGCTTAAAAGGGAGAATATAAATTATCAAAATTCCATATTTACATACTTTTTTCAATTTATTTTATTTCCCTTTTCCTTTCTGTTATAGAGCCAGTAAAGCTCATCATTACCAAATATGGACAGCATTGCTTAACTGGATAAGACCTAACTACACTGAGTTAGCAGTTGAAAAGGTGGATAAGATTATTATCCATGAAAACTACAATGGAGCCACCTACCAAAATGACATAGCTTTGATCAAAGTGAAAAAACATGATGACCAAAAAGAATGTGAACTGTCTCATTCCATCCCTGCTTGTGTTCCCTGGTCTCCATATCTATTTCAACCTAAAGATAGATGCATCGTTTCTGGCTGGGGTCGAGAAAAAGGTATATGTTTTATGATTAATTAATCAGCATCCAGGGGTTGGAAATGAATGAGAATAGAAATTCAAAGGAGCTAATTTCCTAGTTCTCAGAAAGAAACAGTATCATAACCAGAAAAGTAAGCATCCAGCTAGAGCTGGCTACATGTGCTTGCCACCTGGCAATTGCCCAGCACCCTGTGCTCAGAAGGTCCCCAGGCATGATTTACTGCTCAGCTGTCACCATTGTGAAATTCTTAATAATTTTTGAGGGGTCTCAGGAGACTGAGGCAAAAAAAAATTTGCAATGTCAAGGTCACCCTGAGCAGCTTAGCAAGACCCTGTCTCAAAATTTAAATTTTTAAATGGGCTGAGGATGTAACTCAGTGGTAGAGTGCTTGCCTAGCATGTGCAAGGCCCTGGATTCAATCCCTAGTTATTATTATTACTGAAGAATAATAATAACAATAATAATTTTTGAAGGGGTCCCATCCCACATTTCCATTTCTCACTAGATCCTGAAAATTATGTAACTAGTCCTTATCCAGATGTTCAAAGGACATATGTACTCTGTGATCCTGAAGTTAACATTGAGGTGTGAATATTCAAGGAAAAAATATAGAGATAGGGAGACACATGGCATGGACATTTTTGATTTGTTGAAGAGGTGTGGGTAGAAGATAAAAAGGTTTACAAAATTGGAATGAAATATTGGTCCACAGAGACTGGAAGGGACAAGGGAAGAGGGAGGATGGAAAGACGTTCAATAAGGGGCACCAACACGGAGTCTCTTCTGGTTCTTCTTTAGCACATAGGGTGACTATAGGCTAAAACAATCTAGGATATATTTTAAATGACTAAAAGAAGAGTACCAAATTCCCAACACATAAAAATGATAAATGTTTGAAGAGATTGAAATGCTTATTACCTTGATTTGTTATTCACATTATATACATATATTGAATTACCACCATGTACCGCATAAAGATATATAAATATTATGTCTCAAAAAAATTAAAAAGTAGCCGGGCGTGGTGGCACACACCTGTAATCCTAGAGGCTTGGGAGGCTGAGGCAGGAGGATCACGAGTTCAAAGCCAGCCTCAGCAAAAGTGAAGTGTTAAGCAACTCGGCAAGACTCTGTCTCTAAATAAAATACAAAATAGAACTAGGGATGTGGCTCAGTGGTCTAGTGCCCCTGAGTTCAATCCCTGATACCAGAAAATAAATAAATAAATAAATAAATAAATAGCCAGACATGGTGGCACACATCTGTAATCCTACTTAAGAGGCTGAAACAAGAGCATCACAAATTCAAGGCCAGCCTAGGCAATTTACAGTTAGCAAAATGAAAATGTCTCAAAATGAAAAATAAAAAGGGTCGAGGAGGTAGTTCTTCCTTAGCACCCTCAACACTGTGAGGAAAGAAAAAGGTAGCCCATAGATAATAGGAAAACAAACAAAGATTTGCAAAGCGATAGTCTCCATGTTTTGAATCACTCACAGATCTCTACATTCCTCCTGTCTCCTTCCCATTCACCATACCCCACTCCTTTACAAAGAGAAAGAACAGGTGAATTTCATTCTTTGAACTTCTACGACTTTTGGTGAATACCTCCTATGAATAGGAGATGTGGACACTTGGAAAATAAATATTAGAAGAACTGCTGAATTAGAAGTTAGATGAGATGAGAATTAAACTACCTAACATGTTTCCCATCATCTGGAAGATTTTTTTTCATAATATTCTTTTTTTTTTCTAAATAGACTCTATTTTATTTTATTTAAAAAATTTTTAAATTTGTTTTAATTAGTTGTATATGACAGTAGAATGCACTTATGCAGTTTGATATATCATACATAGATGGTATATGATTTCTCATTTTTCTGAGTGTACATGTTGCAGAATCATATTGGTCATGCAGTCACATATATACATATAGTAACAATGTCTGTTTCATTCTACTGTCTTTCCTATCCCCACACCCCCTCCCTTACCCTCCCATCACTTCCCTCTACCTAATCTAAGGTAACTCTATTCTTCCCTAAGCCCCCCCCCCCATCGTGAATTAGCATGTGCATATTAGAGAAAACATTTAGCCTTTGGTTTTGTGGAATTGGATTATTTCGCTTAGCATGATATCTCCATCTTCAACCATTTACTAGCAGATGCCATAATTTTACTCTTCTTTAAAGCTCAGTAATATTCCA